CTCTCCCACGAAATGTTCAACCCCTTCTACTGCCTTTTCGAATACTCCGCCCACGACAACTACACCCTCCAAATCAACCCCCACTCCGGAATCAACCCTGAGCATCTGAACTACTTCAAGTTCATCGGCCGCGTTGTCGGCCTGGCCATCTTTCACCGTCGTTTCCTAGACGCCTTCTTCATCGGTGCTTTGTACAAGATGATTCTTGGCAAGCCGGTCGCCCTGGCTGACATGGAGGGTGTCGATGCCGACTTCCACCGATCTCTGCAGTGGATGCTCGACAATGACATTTCCGGAGGAATCCTCGAGCAGACATTTTCTACGGAAGACGAGCGCTTCGGCGTCATGACTGTCGAGGATCTCATCCCTGGCGGTCGCGATATCGATGTGACAAACGAGAACAAGAAGGAATACGTTGACCTCATGGTCAAGTGGAGAATTGAGAAGCGTATTGCAGAGCAGTTCCAGGCGTTCAAGGACGGCTTCCATGAGCTTATCCCTCAGGACCTTGTCAATGTCTTCGACGAACGTGAGCTTGAACTGCTCATTGGTGGTATTGCCGAAATCGATGTCGACGATTGGAAGAAGCACACAGACTACCGTGGTTACACTGAGTCGGACGAGGTTATCCAATTCTTCTGGCAGACGATCCGGTCCTGGGATGGAGAGCAGAAGTCGCGTCTGCTCCAGTTCGCCACTGGTACTTCTCGTATCCCCGTCAACGGCTTCAAGGATCTCCAGGGCAGTGATGGACCGAGAAGGTTCACGATCGAGAAGGCGGGCGAAATCAACAACCTCCCCAAGGCCCACACATGGTAAGTTGTCACTCCGGACTCGATTTAACCCCGTTGTCACGTACTAATCTTCACTCTGTAGTTTCAACCGTTTGGACCTGCCGCCATACAAGAGTCTCGAGATGTTGCAGCAGAAGCTCACAATTGCTGTTGAGGAGACTATGGGCTTCGGTCAAGAATAGATGCCTACATTCTTACCGACCCGCGTGAATGCTTCTGCAGCACAGAAGCACAATCAAGACCTGCACCTCCTTTACACAGTAGCCAGGCATTGTTTTGACTCGAGGCGTGCGTATCATGCATGTGGCCCACTTTGTCTCTGAGGATTGGGACAGAATTCGAAGCTCGTTAGTGTGGAAATTTGCAGCATCAAATTCATTCGGATGTTTGGCGTGCGGTAGGGATATTTGGAATAAACCTTCGTTTCTCTTATCTCCATGCGGGGAGGGCTGTGGGAAGTGATGACGACAGGAAGCGATTCGAGCCGGAAAGCGGCAAAGTACGAGCAGGAGAGGATGGGAAGTAGCGGCCGTGTTGTACCAAAAGCTCCTTGGGTGCGGTGAGTTTGCATCAGGAGCCTAGACGTCTGCGAATTGAGTCGCAGCCAGGGGAGATTAATATCTGTTCTGGAGAGGAGACCTCGACCCGACAGAGGCTCTCGAGGGCAGGGAACAGGAAGGGCTAGCCATTGTTTGAAGGGCGCATTTGATTATAACGGGCATCACAAATCTAGTGCGGAATCCGCATCAGACAGAGTTTTATATATATACATGACTCACTTGGGAAACACCCTGGTTGCGTGACGTGCTCTGCAACTTGGCCTTGTCTGCCATGCTGCAACCGACTAAAATCTGTTTACACATCTCGTGCTGCTGCGACCATCATCATCTCTCTCTCGATCACGAGCATCATCAACGTGGAGCATCAAAGTGGAGCACCCCGAAGTACATCATCGTCACTGTCGAACGGCAATGACCGGGCATGATGGTAGGGGGAAAACGGAAGCAGAACTTGTAATCTACAATCCACCCGCGGTCGTCTAGCGATGGATCCTCCGCATATGTACATACACACACGCCCGCGCACGCACATCCGCATACAAAACAAAACGAAGCCTCACTCAGGTCGGCTCCAACGTGCCTGGTGTATCTCTGGCTCTTTCCTCGGGCCGGGCTGTTCACATGCTGGGCCACGAGAAGGGCACCCCTACAAACAGATACGACCAAGACAGCTGCTCCCCCCTCCCTCTCTTTCTCTCCCTCTCTCTGGGTCGGGATCTTCCGCAAAGCCTTCCTCCCAACTCGCTCGTTTGACTTGCTTGCTTTGGGCGAAAGCCTCTACATGCGGTACCACATGCGGGTGATCTTGGTGTTGCGCATCTTGCGCTGGAGCTGGAAGATGCCGTACATGAGGGCCTCGGAGGTCGGGGGGCAGCCGGGGACGTAAACGTCGACGGGGACGACGCGGTCGCAGCCGCGGACGACCGAGTACGAGTAGTGGTAGTAGCCGCCACCGTTGGCGCAGGAGCCCATGGAGATGACCCAGCGGGGCTCGGGCATCTGGTCGTAGACCTGGCGGAGGGCCGGGGCCATCTTGTTGGTGAGGGTGCCGGCGACGATCATGACGTCCGACTGACGAGGGGAGGCACGGAAAATGATTCCGAGACGGTCCTGGTCGTAGCGGGGCGTGGAGAGGTGCATCATCTCGACGGCGCAGCAGGCGAGACCGAAGGTCATGGGCCAGAGGGAGGACTGACGGGCCCAATTCGTTATTACGTCGAGGGAGGTACTGTGAAGGGGGGAAGAAAGAACTAATATTAGTCATCTGATTTTCAAAGTGATATGGTTTCGATGCCGGGCATGGATTCGAAGCAGTCGGGCGTGTTTGGAAGAGGGGAGGGGGCCCGTACAGAGCGTATTGCATAACACCCTTGGTGCCCTCCTGGCTAGGCAGAGGGACCTCCTTGCGCTCCTTCTTGATGAGGCCGGTCGAGTGCGCAGCAGCAGGGCTGGCGTCCTTTCGTGACGAGGAGGAGATGGAGGCGGCGGCGATTCTGAAGGGCATGACGGACGCGGTCGGCTTCGCTACACGTGGGAACCAACTGAGGTTAGCCGATGTACAGGACCATCATGGCGATGAGAGCCTCAATTGCATCGTAGAAGGCTACTACGAGTTTCGATTCGATGGTGGCGGGCGGTCCACGAAGGAGTTTTGTGCGTATCCGGTGCTCGGCAGACCGGCTCGAGGGGGTTGATGTGGAGGGAGCTTACCTCGCAGGGCCATCGAGGCCGCTGTCCTCGTGGAGGAAAGCATCTTGTCGTGTCCGGTAGAGTGATGTCGTCTCTTTCGCGAGAGATATCGGAGTTGATGGAGTGGAGAGGGTGTATCGCGAGGGGGAAGTCGGTGAGGGAGCGGCGGCCGGCGACTCAATGGACGAAGGGGATCGATCGATCGGGGGGGGCGGACCTTTTTTGGGTGTAGGATGGTTGACGTTGTCGATGGCGGTTGATGGTTTTCGCCTCTTTTCTCGCTAATGGTATTGCGAGCAATCTGATTGGCCAGTCCGCGACCGGGATGGTCCGTGTGCAAGGCACGTGGGGGGGGAGGATATCTCGCCGTCATTTAGGCGTTGTCGATAACTCCCCGATGGTGCTCGGGAGGATCGCTCATGCCCTCTTTCGCCGGCTGTTCCAGACGGGCTCGATTTGCCACAGAACTCCTACGATTTACTAAAGCCGTCATCATGCACCCGGTCATTCTTCCACCAAATTATGATGGATTTCCTTGAAGGGTCCCTGCAATATGTCCCCGGACGTTCAACTCCCGGGTCCAAAAGCTACTGCTTAAAGCATCATTGTGTACCCTGTGCCACCTTAAGGGGACCACCTTGGGTACGCATCTCGGGTTGCAATTCCTGAATTGGCAGTGACTAGTTAGGTCATGCCTTGATCAAAAGGGTGGTTCAGAGGCGCTCCTAAATGTATATCAAAAATTCCAGACCAGTGTGTGGCTTGTTTGATGTGTTACAGCCGCACTGCGCTCCTCGGACTGCAAGAGACGCATGAAAGGAACTTAGCTCCTGCAAATCGGAGACCTTGGATCAGTCTTCCCTGTCTATCTGATGTGTTTACAGCTGTTGAAGAAAAAGCCAACGCTACGGAACCCAGGAGCAGCAAGTGACAGTCGTAAAGCCAATTGACCTTCCCACAACCTTTACACACTTTTCGAGTCAGCCAAACTTCTTCACAGCAAACTTCATCTCTTCATAAAAGCATCATCCTGCCTCGGACCTCGAATCTAGCTCTCAATGGGAAGATTATGTCACAGTCACCGACCGGAGACTAGCACTCATCGAATCCCGAGCTCCCCTTAGTAAGCAGGCCGATTTCCCCATTACAGTCGAATCGATTTTAACGTATCCTACGCACATTTCACTACATTCAAGCTCCTTCAAACCTGTTCCTATCCCTCTGGTTTCTTAGAGAAGCTTTAGGGTTAAGTACACCCGGATAACTACTTTACTGTATTCGCCAGCGCTTCGATACCAATTAGTGGGCAGTAAAATTTTACAAATATATATATGGAAGACAAATCTTGCTTTCCAACCAACAACATGCACGACCGATTTGGAGTCTTTAGCTGAGGTTGAAAAATATCGAATGAGTGGTCGGTCAAAGCGGTGGGGCCTTGCCGGGGCGGCTTACACGGCGGACAAGAGCCGAATTGGTGGTACCGTTTTGAGAAGAGAACCCGAGTCTTCCTCGCCCATTCCCCGGGCAACTAGTAATCCAGCAACGTGATTGGCGATGTGATTTCAATAAAGCAGCACACAGGCCAATGTCATTGACATTTTTGGGTCTTCAAGTCTCAGACAGTCGTGGTTCAAATGACTTGACTGAGGTCACTCACAATAGCTCGGCGCAATTTCCCCCCACCAAGCAAAATATCATCTCCACGTCAGTGAACCGGGGTGCATATCGGGAAAGGGGCTACAGGGCCGCGCACTTCACTCTACAAGAGCTACCCACATTGCAAATAGATTACCGCTTCCTCAAATGAGAACTGTCGACCGTTGCGTTCGTGGACCCGACCCTCATATCTCTCTCCTCGGACTAGCCATGGGCAGTCTGTCGTATCCAAGACCTTGCCGATGACCTGATCGATCTCCTCGCGGGTGACCGAAGCAGAAGAAAATTCACCTTTGCGATGGCGTGGAAGGCCAATCGTCCGGCGCCCAGCTCGGCCAAACCTTTGCTCAAAGGCGTGCTGACGACCTTCATCCTGACACTGCTGTTGACGAGCACCTACATGTACCGCGATACGATCAGCACCAAAGCCTCCCAAGTCAAGTTCACCGATGGCGCCGCGACCGACTACTTCAAGTACCCCTTCAACGCTAGCGACGCCGATGCGAACCCGATCGGCTGGCTGATCCACGACGCGCGGGCGAAGCACGCGACGATACTCCAGAAACGGAGCCGTACTCTGCACAATGCCGCCCAGCGCTACCGTGAGCGACGGGGCAGACACCCGCCCCCGGGGTTCCAGGAATGGTTCCATCATGCTATGGAGACCGATGCAATAGTCGTTGAAGAGTTCTTCGACCGGATCTATGACGACCTCGGGCCGTTCTGGGCGCTCGACGCCAAGACAACTTCGAAGCGAGCCAACGCAGGGGAGCACGTCGTAAGAGTGCGCAACGGCACGGCGACGGGCGATGGGAACATGGAGGATAGGGAACCGTGGCTGGGGCTTTGGACAGCTCTGGTGTCTGAGTTTGCGAAACATCTGCCTGACGTGGACATGCCCATCAACTACATGCACGAGCCACGGATCCTGGTTCCGTCGCAGGACATGGAGAAATACGTTGCGAAGGAGGGGAAGACGAGAAACATGCCGCCCAAGAACAAGGTCGCGTCTCAGCTCCAGAGCTTGACGAGCGTTGATGCTGCCCGAGGAACTCTCTACTCCAAGGGGTGGACAAGCGGCGACCGTCGCAAGTACTGGGACCTTGTTCGGGAGGCCTGTCCTTCAGATTCCCCAGCGAGGAACGTACCTGCGGCGACAGACCTTTCCCTGCCACCAACATTGCCATACTCATGGAAAGCACCGTTTGCTCGTCGAGGCTACGTGCAGAACTTCACCATGTCCATGGACCCGTGTGTGCAGCCTCACCTACGTTCGCTTCATGGCACCTTCGTCGAGCCTCTGAACGTCAATACGACAAAAGATCTTATCCCCCTTTTCGGGGGCTCCAAGCTCCTCGTCAACTCGGACATCCTCATCCCTGGCGCCATGTACCTCTCTGATGACCCAAGCTACACCGGCGGCAACATCCGCGGCCCCGCATGGCCCGAGAAACTCAATCGCCTCGTCTGGCGGGGCATCGGATCCGGAGGCCTCGCCCAGTCAGACAACTGGACGCATTTCCACCGCCAGCGGCTGGTAGAGATGCTCAATGGCACCACCGTGCACGGCATGGAGGTCAATGACGTCCGCGCGATGACCTTCGATATGCCCCCTCTGGAACGCTACAACACTCTACGCCGTCGCCAGAAGCGGCTCGGGAAGTTCCTCTCTCGGTTCACGGATGTGGGCTTCACGCACCTGCTGTGCGGACCCGAACACGACCGGCGTAAGGAATGTGACTGGCTCGCGCCGCACTTATCGGTGGTCAACGCCACGCCTATGGCGGAGCAGTTCTCGAACAAGTTCCTCCCGGACGCGGACGGCTACAGCTTCAGCGGGCGGTTCAGGGCGTTCCTGCTGTCGACGAGCGTGCCGCTCAAGGCGACGGTGTACGCCGAGTGGCACGATGACCGCCTCACGCCGTGGTTGCACTTCGTGCCGCTGGACAACACCTTCCAGGACCTCTACGGTGTGCTGGACTTCTTCACCGACGGCGATGATGAGCCACAGGGTTCGTGGGGCGTCCACAGTGTGCTGAGGAAGAAGAGCAAAGGCGACGACGCTGCGAGGTGGATTGCAGAGCAGGGCAGGGAGTGGGCGGAGAAGGTGCTGCGCCGCGAGGATATGCGGCTGTACGTCTGGAGGTTGTTGCTGGAGTTTGCGAGGCTTTGCGACGAGCGTCGGGATACGCTTGGCTACGTGGATGACCTTCCTTGAATATCTCGAGTTTTGATAGGCTTTACAGCCATGACTTCTGATGAGGTGTTTTGGTTTGCAAAATATCGGAAACCATATTAGCACCAATGAACTAAAAGTCAGGGGGGGGGGCCTGCGTGGCAAGCTTTCGACCGCAATTTCCTAAGCTTCTTAAGCTCAGTATTCCAATTGGATGTAACCTGGCTGACCAATCGCCTGTCGCTTTCGCCAACTAGCGTTGGCCTTGCAGGAGTCTATACGGCGTAGAAGACGGACAGGTGCTTTGCTTAAGCTTTGCCCACGCAGATGCTGTCTAGATTGGCTCGACATAGCCCTCTGTGTCGGCGCCAAGGGCAAAACGAGGGGGGCTCGTTCGCTCATGATGGTTCTCAAAAGCTTGCCGGGGAGTTTGGGTGGCTGGATTTTCCAGTTTGTCGGTACAATGCTGTGCTATGCTCGTTGTATGAATCCAGGCGATGAAAGGCGCGCCTGGTCAGGGGCCTGCCGACCAAGTGATACCTTTGGAAGAACAGCATGTATAATAACATCCCTCCTGTGCAACCAAGTTTTCTACCCTCCAACCATTCCGCTTTTCAGCCACATTTAGTAAGGTCTACTTCAATGGACATCAAGATGCAATTTTGCGCGATTCCCCAGGAGGTCACAACTACGGCGCCCTGTTACCCTGATCGGCGTCACTGGCAACCAAGCAATACACAGTGGCCGAAATCACGCGTCGTATCCAAGATGAAGATACATAGGAGGCTCAAGATACGACAAGCTCGGTCTACATCGCAGGAAGTCAGTAACCATGTTCAAGCCACATAACACTGGTGACGATGTAAGGGCTTACTTGCTTCTAGACAATGCAAACCTCCTGGGAGGATGGAACGAGAGCCTCAATGAGCGATTCCCTGAGCGAGACGGAGTTGGACGAGAAGTGGAATATCGGAGGTGTGTCGGAGCTGGAGATCACACCGCTGCTTGAACAAGACGAAGAGCGCCAAGGGCGCTCTATCGGAAGTTCCTTGAGGAAGCGGTCGATGAAGGTCCGCCAGAGAGTTCATCAACTCTTCCGTTTACAAAGCGGTCCCACCAAGCCCGAAAACGAAGCCTCAAGAACCCCTTCAAGGGACGCAAGCAAGATGCCAATAGGGAAAGAGAAGTCTGCAGAGACTGCAGGTGGTGAGGGTTCATTGAACGACAGGAAGTGCTACCATGAGACGACTCGCCTGTATTGGTGCATCGCAGCCCCATTCGCGATTGTTCCAGTGGGATATCCCGTGATAATGTTCTAGAATTCATCTTTATTGAGTCAGGAAAGGAACAGGACAGGGATAGGGAGTGAGGTGACTAGACCTTTGTCTGAGGGGCTGCTGGGTCAGTGAGGTGATTTGATAATCCAAGAGTGGTTTATGGACTGACACACATCTTACTTGATGAGACATAAAGATATTGAACAGTACCTTAAAAGGCATGGTATCAATTTCTTTAGGCAATTGACACTTTTAGTCCAGTCATATGCAAGAGCTGTGCTCTGGCATCTGGCGTTAAACATGGGTATAGACATTCTTTTACACTCATACGGATTCAGGATGAAGCCAAAAGCAGGAGCCCTCACCTTTTAGAGCCCCCCCCCCCCCCGCGGCGGATCACACATAATATAAAAACTCTCAACCTCTTCAGGAGTTGAGGGTTGTCTTATAATATCTCGTTTCTTATTGAGAAGGCGCATTCCAGCGGTACCTGCCTCCATGACGGAAGCAGAGGCTAGGTATTTCTAGTAAGGAAGCTACCTGCATCGATAGCCATAGGTATCTACCTGCCTTCTCGTTGTTGAATCAGTCACCCACTGCTGCCCTTTGCCTTTTTCTGATCTGCCACTCATTTACGATGGTACCAGGTCGAAGTTAATTACCCCTGTTAGGTAACTAATGTTCACCCCCCTACTACAGGACTTCACTTTTGGTGAATATTCACCCTCTATTATGATATCAGCTGTGGGGGGTAACATCATAGGGGTAATTAACTTGGCCCTGCCACCCTGTACCTACCTAGCTTAGGTAATCATCGACATGCCACGCACGCACGCGAACCCAACAGCTCACACCGATGTCGGATGCTTAGCGCCCATACTGCCTCAGCCAAATGAGGTACTTGGACAGACGGTTATCCAGTCCGGTATACTGACCACTTTACCGACGCTGGCTGCTTTGGTAAGTAGGCAAAGGAGGCTAGTGGTCACCCTCAACAGCGAAAGGGTTCATCATCCAGGCTTTGCGGTGCACAAAACAATGTGGTATACCGCTTGCGCAACCAGGGACAGCAATCTCACGATATCATGGCACTGGGGATGCGTCTCTCTTGAAACTTGGCTTCGGAATCTGTACCGCGGGGCACTAACTACGGGTTCGCAGGATCGAGGACAGATTAAGCTAGCGTGGGTAGCGTGTACAACGCAATGGAGATGGCTCTCAACGCTCGTCCCGACTTTGGGGACAACTGTAACAATTGCCTTGTTCCAAAGTCGGGACGAGCTTCATAAACCAGTATGGTACGGTACCTAGTTAGGCAGGTACCTCGAGGTGGTTGGGGTGGGGGAGAAGAGGACGGGAGCGATCGCAAAGCCGTTAAACGGCAAAAGTGGGACAGAGTGAGACGTCATCCGGGGTGAGCCCTGTCCCATCCAACTTGCTGAACCAGCCAACTAATAACGTCCCCAGCGGGAGCCACTGAATCGGAACATGGGGACTGGATTACCAAGCGGCCAGGTGAATAGATAAACGGCCGTCAACTGGTGGCCAACGGGCGCTATCTAGTATCTCACATGCACTCGTGCTCAGGTGATGGAATGGACTAGGGCGAAGCTCCAATAATTGCTCAATCTTCCCTCGTTTCCTCGCCTCTTTCCTAACCCGCACCCCGCAGCTACTCCAAAACCTCCGAACTTGAAAACCAAAGTACTGAATGGCAACGATAAAGGCCCCGTCGCAACGTCCGAAACAAGGGCATTTTGGCCATACGATCCGACATGACGGATGAGAGAGCCCTTCAACCCCGGGACCGGCAGCACGCCGCCGACAACGAAACCGGGACAGCGGGGGGCGTTTCGTCGGCCGAAGCCACCGAGGCGACGCCTCTGCTCAACTCCGGGGCCTCTTCTCCAACACTCCGTGATGGGTCGCTGGGCGGTAATAGCCGCCGGGATCGGGATTCGGACGTTGACGTTGACGAAGACGACGATGCCGGACCGAAGCAGTCCATAAGCGTGACCCGCGCGGGGGTTCTCATGCTCAGCACCTGGATCCTCATCTTTCTTCAAGGTATGCGTCCTTGCTCAAACACGACTCGGCCCACAATGGCTTAATTGACTTAAAACCCGCGACCAGCATCGAACACGTCGGGCATGACAATGACCCAGTCCGTCGTCGCCGAGGACCTCGAGGCCTACGCGGACGCCATGTGGTTCACCAGCTCCTACCTCATCAGTATGGCCTCGCTGACGCCCCTCTTCGGCCGCCTGGCCACCATCTTCTCTCCCCGCAGCCTCGTCCTGCCCCTGGGCTGCTTCTTCGCCGCCGGCGGCGTCGTCACGTCCCAGGCGTCCTCGTTCTGGGTCTTCATCGCCGGCAGGATCCTGTCAGGCATGGGCGGCGCGGGCATCATGACGCTGTCCATCATCCTGGTGCTCGAGCTGGTTGGCAAGAAGAGCCGCGGCCTCTTTGTCGGGCTGGTGAACACGGGCTTCACGATTGGCCTGTCGTTTGGTGCCGTTGTGTCCGGCGCGCTGTTGCCGGCCATCGGATGGGTCAGTCTCGTCATGTCTTCAAAGTCCCGGCTGCTGGGTGGCGGTTTGGGGTTTGGAATAGAAAGCTGACGTGGTTTGCAGAGGGCCCTCTTCGGTTTGCAGGCACCGCTCGGCCTGTTCGCAGGTCTGGGCGCCTTCTGGAGCATACCCAAGACCTTCAGTTCGGATCACGAGGCAAAAAGCAGGCCCATCTCGCACAAGTTGGCTCGAATCGACTACGCGGGTGCTTTTATGCTCGTACGTCTCCAGACCCAAATACGTCACCGCTTGACCCCAGCTCACATCTTTAGGTCCTGACCATCGTCCTGTTCCTCTACGGCCTCTCTGGGGAAATCCAAACGCGTCCTCTCATTTTCTCCGCCCTCTCTCTCCTTCTGTTCATCTTCATCGAGTTCAAGTTCGCCGCAGACCCCATCATCCCCATCTCCCTCCTAACGTCTCGCCCCGTCCTCCTCTCCTGCGTGGCTCAGCTCTTCTTCATGTCGATCCGCTGGACTCTTCTCTACTACGCGCCCATATTTGCCCTCGCCGTCCGCGGATACGCCCCGGCCATCGCTGGCTCGATCCTGGTCCCGACCAACATCGGCTTCGGCTCCGGTGGGCTGGTCGTCGGCTGGCTCCACGTCCGCCGCAACGGCGCCTTCTGGACGCCCTCGGTCATCAGCCTGACGTGCTTCGCGGTGACCATGTTCTGCCTCTCGTTGGTCGGCACGGCAGACTCGCCGTTTTGGGTATTCGTCCTGGCCGTCGTGCTCAACGGGTTCGCGACGGGCGCCACGCTGAACTACACCCTCGCGCACATGCTGCACCTGAGCCGACCGGAGGAGCACTTCGTCTCGACCTCGTTACTGGGCACGTTCCGAGGGTTCGGGGGTAGTTTCGGTACGGCCATCGGCGGGGGTATCTTCTACCGCCTCCTGCGCTCCGGCCTGTTGTCCAGCTTCAGGGAGCTCGACGGCGGGAGGCTGTCCGAGGAGCGGAAGGAGCTCGTCACGAAGCTGATCGGGAGCCCCGCGCTCGTGTTCAACGGCCGGCTGGCTCCTGCCGAGCACGCCATCGCGGTGGAAAGGTACGCCAGCGCATTGAGGGGCACGTGGCGTGTGGCGGCGGCGCTGGCGTTTGTTGCCGTCGTGATCCAGGCGAGCACGGGGTGGAGGGGCCCTGCGGGTAGGAGGGCGGTGGGCGATGAGATAGAGGCAAGGGCGGTGGTAACGGAGAGCGAGGGTGTTGGCGAGGCATGATTTGGTTGTGAGCGGGATTTTGAGGTCAGGGTGACATTGGCATTTCAGACGGGACATGGCAGGGGCGCATTACGTTGGCCGGGAGGGGTTGCATACGAGCATCATCGTTCTTGTTTGCTCACAAGCGGCGCAGCGTACGGCATACAAGGCGGCAGCAGGTTTCTGGATATCTGTTGGAGTCCACCAGTGCGTATTCAGTTGTATACAGACTAGGGAAAGCAACAATAGCCCAGGAATATACACTCCAAATGAAGTCTGCATTTCAGCATCGCGTGTTGGGGGGAGGCTCGTATACGTACAGGCTGTGCAAGACCTCGCCGGTTCGGCGCGGCTACTGGCACTTTGGTACGAAGGCGACAATATCGAATGGGAACCAAGAGTGTACCCCTACATCTTCCAGACACACCAGTCTAGCAACACGTTAGTAACACGGTGTCATGTAAAGCGCGATGGCTCAGTGTGGCTTTGTGGCTGCATCGGTGCCACATGTAACTCATCGCTGTAATCAACATCATCGACGTGACACAACTGAATTCCAGTCACTCTGCATCTAGAGGGAAAACGACATCGCACATACGACCCAGGGCTGGCTGCGCGCAGGCCTCAGTCGACGACCCCTACGGGCAGATGTGACTTCCTCGAGGGTGCCCGTTTCGGACTCAGCCCGCGCCATCGCGTCCTACACGGCGGTGCTCGGCCGGAACTGGCGCCGTGACCGGGGCCGAGACGGGTGTGCACTTCTTCAACATGGGCTGGGCTCCACGGCGGGCAATCGAGTTGCCGGCCACTATGCGGGCGAGGCCGCAGCTCGTTAGTGGTTTTGCCTACGTTCTGCGTGCGGAATATTGAGAGTGGCCATTGCCGAGGCGGCCGGGGGGAGCCCAGGTGGGAAGGGTTCGTGTGTGAGTCGGAACCAGACCGCCCCGCCACCGCGTTCCCAAGATGCCGGGCTGATAGTTGCTTCTAGGCCGAACGCTGAGATCGCCGTTGAGATGAGGTCCTTTTACCGGATCGTCGATTGCGAAGCAAACATGGTGGAAAGGGGTCCTGGGCACCAGGAAACGTGCTCGACGCTCGCCGGTTCGGAAGATGTGACTGCGTATGGTTCGCTGGCAATCTCTTGATAGGGTTGTCAAGGAAGACCCGGGAATCTTACGATGAAAGGTGACGTTCGATTTGCAATCAGGGTCGTCTTCTAGGCCGGTCATTGTCTTTTCTGACGGTTGGGCCCGAAGCAAAAGTTCCCTTGTTCTTCTTCTGGAGGGACCCCAGCCCGCATGTCCGGGCCGCTTCGCCCCTTGGAGACTGTGCATGGCCGGCAGGGGGCGACGGACGGGACCTCGTAATAGCCGGAAAGCAACAGGCTGATATCCACGAACCGGTGTGAAGATAGCTTGTATTGTGAGCCCGACTGTACGACGTCACTTCCGAAACAATGAATCCATCTTGAGGAAAGGTTGCAGGAAAGGTTGCGAATGAGGAGAGCAATCAAAGGGCATAAGGGCTGGCTGACAGGTCCACCTTTTGGGTATATTGGACCTCACATAGTCGTTACCACTGCCTGAGGGGCCAACGTATGATTGGGTTAGGCATGTCGGTTGCAGTGGCTGGCTGTAGGACCGAAGATGCTGCAGGTAGCCTGAGGGTTCGCGATCCGGGCCCGGTAAATACGCCCGAAAGGGCTTGGCATTCTTTCCCGCGGAGCCGAACCGGTTTCTGCCAGCGGACTGGGCAGGCCATATCTGGAAGTTCTCGTCTTCAATGAGCGGGAAGACGAGGCCCGATTGCAGTCCTTCTTTAGCCGGCTGCAGGCTCCCGAGATTCCAGAAGACGGCTACCCGCGCGGCGATGCAAGCAGGTCAGGGTCTGGCGATCCTGAGATTATCGTATGGCTGGCTGGCGACGGGTCCAATCGGAATATTTGCCGATAGGCGTTTCACACACCTAATCGACGCACCTCAACAAGTGATCTGCGTTGGAAGGAGAAGGGGTTGATTGTGAAGCAGAGTAGCAGATGAGGCGGCCGGTGCAATGCCAAGGAACTTGTTGCGGATGCAAACGGCAAGACACGCGTTGCCCCCCTCGTTGGGTGACATGGAGCTGTTTAACGAGGAGATGGCCGGGTGTGCCGTGGACACTGGCCTGGTAAGATTTAGGTAATAAGCTGCTTTGTGGAACGATGGCATTATGGATATCAACAGATGCAGATTTGGTCGAGATGTTTTGAGGTGTGAGTTCAGGTGGCAAGGGGGAAAGAAAGGGGAATGAGGGTGGCACAAGTCGACCAGACAATGTGACACAGGACATGGAAGCAAGCAGCAGGCAGCGACATGAGCGGCGGAAGATTTATGTTGTGCTCGGTTATGACCAGACATGGACCAGTTCGTGGTTCTCATTGATGAGACGATGCCTTTGGAGTGAAGGCAGCAGCAGGTAGATTTTGATTCCAAACAGGCCCCGGTAGGCCAGTCCGCGGGACGTATCCCATGCTGTTGTAAGGTTGTCAGGGACGATGAGGTGAAATATGGAATTGTCGTATGAGTTGACTGGATAGAAGACGTACTCAGAATGCGTATAGCGGAGGGAGTAGGGAGTACCTAGGGGGATACAACCAAGACGGAAGAGAGAGCGTTGAACCCTTGCACCTCGCAACAGGAGGACGGAGTTCTCAATGGCGCGGATGGAGCGGCGTGTGATTGGCGGAGAATCTCTGACGTCCAAATCCTGGGAATAGGGAAAACGCGGCGGATCCTTGTTGCCCAGGCGAGTTCCGGTGAGACGAACGTTCGTTCGTTCCCCCGGGGTTTTCCCCAATCTACCCCCACCATTCGGCATGCAAAGCTCAGTTGAGTTACTGCTATGTACCTAGTTCCACCTGCGGATACAATGTGGTAATCTACCATCAGCATCGACAAAGTCAGCTCAACTGAAGCAAGGCCTCTTCTGGCTTCGTCTTGCCCGTCTTGGAAGACCATCGTCGTGGAACGGTGCTCTGGCCGCCGCCTGCAACCGAAATCAACGTTGGACTCCCCGGCCCAGCCCATCTCCGTCTTGTTATCCCACGTCGAAACGGATTAGATACCTTGGCCCACCTAACCCTGTCTTGCTTGCCTTGCCTTGTCTCAACTCGGGAACGACACTGGCACGACGACTGACTGACTCGCTTCTTTCGTTCGTCGAGCGCCGAGAGCTCCAAGCTTTGCTCATCCTGCGGACCTCCATCATCCATCCAGTCAGCGACTGGCACTCTTCTTCCTTGGGACCAACACCCCTGGCTCAGGGTTCCAGAACCGTGCAGCAGCAGCAGCAGCAGCAGCAGCAGCAGAGACAGGTCCAGGTTCCATTCTTATTTCCATTCCCAATCCTAGTCTCAGCCCAAGTCAGTCCCAGTCCCTGTCAGCCCCGTGCCAAACTCCCCGATTTGCCCCCTTCCCCTCCCCCTTCTGACTCTGGTCAATCACTCTGGTGGAACGCAGCATCTGTGGTGGAACAATTCGTCTTCTCCAACTTCCATCAATCTCTCCGTCTCCTCCACCAACGACAAGCCTCGGATTGTCCATTGCGCATGGCCCACGCCGGCTGTGCCGTCCAGAGAGCCATCCACCGAGCCTGCTCAGACTCCCAGATGGGGATCGCCAACCTCCGGCCTAGCACCGACTTTCATATCGTCCCCTACCTCAAACAACTTCGGACGGACCGAGGAGAACCTTGACACTTCCTCATCGTTTCTCACGACAACGCTGTGTTGTTCCGAAAGCTACCTACTTCACCTCCGCCGGCCCCGTCTCGTAGCCTCCCCATCGGCGAAATTATTCCTCGCCCAAGCGTCGCCATTGATCAACAGCCCACGGCCCTAGCCTTCCCGTACCATCAGCCAGCTCGTCTCAACTTTTCCCCTGTCAACTTCTCATATTGCGACAACCTCTCGTGCTCCGAGACGGCTTCCACGACGCCCACTCTGTGCACCGTATCCTCGCTCGTGCTAGCTAGCTATCTTGGCTGCGCTGATCGCGCTGACCGCGCCGATATAAAGCTTGCCCCCACGGCCCGACTTACGCACGCGCGCGCCCGCGCGCCACATGCGACTGGGTTGCCATCACCAGAGCTTCAATCGGGATTCCTGCCGCCTGTGCTTCAATTAGACGACCCAACCCACCCTTGGAATCGCAAGCCCCAAGTCCTGCATTGGACCGTACGAAAGCACTCCACGAATTGGTGGAAGAAAGCACTTGGCTCCAGTAAACTGGTTCATAGGGCTCTGCTCAGCGCCATTGTCCTCTCTTGACGGCACTGAGCTTCTTCGCTCACTTCTTATCAGTCGCTACTCACGCAGCGCACATCACGCCCCCGACCCCCTCGGGGATACCTCGCTTCATATGCACCAGCCTCACGACGACCCCCACCTGCTTTCTCTTCCCGGTGCACATCTCTAACACTGTCAGGTCACCTGACACGCCTTGGCCTGCTGCTCCTTTCTTGCTCTCTTCTCTATCAATAGTAGCACATCTACCCCCGCTGTGACCCCTCGACTCTCTTTTCCATTCGTCTCTCCAACTGCCATAATCCTGCTTGGACCGTCAGCTTGTCTTGTCATGGGACTTTGGCCTCACATATCCAACATCGCTACCCACCGCCACAATACTTCCTCACGGTCATCCTAGTCGTCTCAAAGGAGGAGAAGGGGAGGGAGCGCTTCATCGTGGGTTCGTTGCGTCCTTTCCGCCTCAGAACACCGTCCCCGGCGTGGCTGCTCGGTTCTCACAGCTGCATATCAACGCATCATCAAGCAACGCCATGGCATCATTACACCAGCTCGGCGCTGGCCCAACCCCCGCGCGCCCGCGGAGTGTGAACGACTCCGGGAATCAGGATGTTGACATGGACGTCGATCGGAATGCCAGTCCCGCCGTGACAACTGGCACAAGGTTCGGCAGTGCCCCCCAGAGAGGAGACACCAGGATCGTCGTGATTATCTATGGTCACGGCCAAGACAGTATCGTGTCAGTGTTCGCCGACGTCCTGGGGAAGCCGCACGCCATCCATTCGGCATTCCAAGAGGTTGGCCCCGCCGACCAAGGGCTCGTGGTCGGCATCCCGGCAGAGCATGCCAAGAATGACATCAAGTCTCGCGACAAGGGGCTTGTCGTGGTGATCAACGCTCACTGCGTCAACCTGGGGATGCCTCCGGACGTCTTCCTTTCGGCGCAGTGCGATTACGAGTTCCTGTACACGGAAGCCCCATTCTTCCGCCGGGACCTTTCGAGGTTTATCTCCTTCACCCTTGGCCAGATCAACCACCATGAGACGCTGATGTCAAAACCGCGGACGTATTTCATTTCCACAACGTTCCCGGACGTCAGCGCTGCATTGCCCAACATCGACATCCTCACTGTCGGCGCCGACGCGGTGGAAATGCGAGTCGATCTCCTCAAGGAGCCTCTGGGCGACGGCACATACTCTGCCATTCCGAGTCTCAGCTACGTCGGACAGCAACTGATGCTCCTACGCCAGCGAACAGAGCTTCCCATCATCTTCACAACCAGATGCACGAGAGAGAACGGCCGCTTCCCGATGGAAAACCCGGATCTGTACTACGAGTACCTGTATCGAGCCATCCAGTGGGGTGTCGAGTACATTGACGTGGAGCTCTGGCTTCCTGAGGCTATCCGGAAGAATCTCTATGAGCGAAGGGGAAGCAGTCGGATCATGTCTGCGTTCCATGATTTCTCCGGCACCTTCAGATGGCCGTCATCCCATGCCGAACAGGTCTACGTTGAATCCAGCAAGTACGCCGACATCATCAAGATGATTGCCATCATCAACGACCATAACGAGAACTTTGAGCTGGAATACTTCCGGTCCAAGATGCGCACGGACTACCCAGATTCACCTCCATTCTCGGGAGTCAACATGGGGGAGACTGGCCAATTCTCCCGCACTCTCAACAGGGTCTTTACTCCCATCACTCATCCGCTACTGCCGATAGTCGCAGCTCCAGGCCAGATGAGCGCATCGGAAATCAACGCGGCTTTGGCCCTGCTTGGTCAGCTCCCCAAGAAGAGTATATACGGCATCACAACCCCGGCCTTTCGAAGTTCGACGCCGCAAGCCCCTTTCTATGAGAAGTGCTTCAACGAGCTCGGCCTGCCACATTACTTCGCGGTCGTCGAGCGCGCTCCCAATAGCTTTTCAAGCATGGAGGCTTGGTGCAACCAGAAGAACTTTGGCGGCGCCTATCTTAGCCCGCCCGTGTCGTGGAACAGTCTGCTGAAACACAGCTCGTTCTTCGCCTCGCTCAACGGCGGGAAGGGCCCGGAACTGACCGAGGCCGCTCGGCTTATCGGTACCGTGGACACCATCATAGTCAAGTCGGGGTCTTCATCTTCGGCGTCCTCTGCTCCAGCGTCCATTCCGTCGAGTCCGCGCCACGGGCACCACGATTCCTTTGGCCATCTAGGGTCCAACTTCTCCGCTCTATCGCCAAACACGTCTCTGATTCTGGATAACGCCAGTTGGCGTGGTATCATCAGTACGCTGACTAGAGACAGGGCACCTTCAGCATACTTTGGTCGTACAGCCGTCGTCCTGGCCTCTTCCGGCGAGGATGCCGCATCGGTTATGTACGCCCTGAAGGCTCTCCGTATCGGCAAGATATATACCGTTGGCTTCCGCACGCCGCCGGCCCTGGCTCGCGACGGACCTGTCATTGAACCATTCAACAGCCTCGAGAGTCTCAAGAGGGCACAGACGGTCGGCGATGACGCAGCCCCTTTCTTGGTCGTCTCGGCTCTGGGAGCGGAAAAGAGCAATCTCGTCGGCATGCTCGTCCGCGTCTTTGGCACCAATGTTCGGGCCGGGTCGAATTTCAAAAAGGTCTTTCTCGATCTCGCCGAGGTCTCGGGGACAAGGAAAGGCGGCGACCCGGGCCTTATCGCTCAGCAGGCCGGGTTCTCCGCCTACGGCGTCGCCGACACGGCTGCTTTCACGACGGTGGAGATTCTCAGACTGCTGGTCTGCCAGAACGTGCCTTACAGCTTCGTCAGACTGGCAAGCGGTGGAGGCATGTTCTGAGGCTGAGGTGGTGGACGCAGACCTCTGGGCCCCATCCATCTTCCGTGTCTCCACGGGGTCATCCCATATGTATCATTTCTGCGGATAAGGCAAAGGGGGTGATGCGAATTCGAGATTGCGAGCTGCATCGCAGCTACGCCCTATCAGGGGGGGACGACGCTTGCGACTCCGAGCCAGCGGCAGGCATTGCCCGGGCATGATGAGGTCCAAGGACCCGATAAAGCCAGGTCACGCGAAGGAATGTGTAGTGTCCACGGCGGTCTAGGCAAGCGTATCGACTGCCAGTCCCAGCGAAGAGGACGGAAAAAGCGATTGGGCAATGCTCGAGGCTGCATTTGAGCCGCATCTCCAGGTAAACCCCCCTCTCGGACACGGGGAGGATGGAGCCTGCGGCCCAACTTATGGTTTCTGTCTCGCAGGATGAGGGAGGCGGTCAGGGGACGTATGTCGTGACGAGAACAGCTCATCAGTGAAAGGGGATGAACCATTGCACGCATGTACAGCGTTTAGCGCGGAGGGAGTTGAGGAATGTATAGATCGGGTAGAAGAGGGACGATCGGCAGGGGAGGTCATTTGCGAAATCTGGGTTCATCTAGCTGATGCACGAGCTCGCAACCCCGGTCTGGGCCGGCCCATTGTCCCTTCTAGAGAAGGGAAGGGGGTGTTTGTCGATACGCTTTTTTCTTTTCCTCTTTTCAATTTTGCGTGCGAGATCCTCACGGTCCCCAAGCGGTCCCGGACCGCGTCAGTAGACTACGCGGCTGTAGACGGCCTTTTGAAGAGGGCCCGTCTCTTTTGGGTATCAATTAATGCGATTCACTCCGGACACGGAGATGCCCCGACAACATTGAGACTCCTGGATTGTGACCCGCCGAACAATCCGCGGCCCTGCACCGAGACGGCTCGCTCTCTGGCCTCGTAACTGAATTCCAAGAGGCCAGGCTAGGAGAGGCCGCTCGCCCAGCGTCTAGCCAGCATCTCCCACGGGTACGCTCTTGACTTCATGCCTGTCGAGGTACCATTTCGGGCCCGCGGGCGGGCCGTCGGACGGCGCGGGATTTGTATAGCCAAGTCTTTTGCAAGGTCGACACACCCATGAGGGAACGGGACCTGGGAGTCTCAGGGGGTGGTCGCGAGGTCCTTTTTTGCCTGATTGTGTCGAATACATTCTTCGCCGCTATTTCTGCCGCCTGCTCGCCGCCCCCGCCCTCACACCGTCTTTGTTAGGATGAACTAACCACGGTGGAACGGTTCCCCCTGTGTTGACGACGAAAAACCATTCACCGTCGAGCAGGACCGGGCCCAGACCACATCTTGTTGAGTAGCTGGCATCGTGGCACACACACGCACCCCGCATGAACTCCTATAAGCCCTGCTTCCTTCTGCTGACACCTAAAAGCGTCGTGGTTTTCGCATCCGCCCCAAGCCACAACGTCGCATGCTGGAGCTGACACAGGTACGGGCTGCGTCCCTCGTTTCTGCAGTTGACTCACTATGGCGTGGTAACTCGTCCGGCCGTGTCGCGCGTGAACGACGGCGACGTCAGAACGAGGAGACGACAGGACACGTCGAGAGCGCCCTCTCGCCAATCAGTCTAGAAGTCGAACACACCCCGCTAACTACCACTAGCCTTCCGAGAATGGGGGACGGGAGGTCCATCTCCACGCCCCCCCATCCAGGATTCGTCGCCAGCTGACCAACCACTGGGGAGAGGGGGAGCAGCACCAACCCTGGTCGTTCGCGTTCGCAGCCCTCTTCCACGGTTTAGATGAAGCTGTCGTGTATAGTCAGAAACCTCGTCAATGCAAGGGCGGGAAAGTAGGACTGGGCCACTCATCTCGCGAGCTTTGCCAGTCGAGCCGATCGAGGAGATTTCGTAGCAGCGGAACGACGAATGAGAGGGGGCAATGGCCGCTATGGTTCGGGCAAAGGGAGCTGCGGAATCGACGAGGGTGACAAGGGCGCCCACAGATGCCCACAGACGTCCTGGCAGCTCCGAACGGTCCGCGTCCGATGACAGGGGTTGCCGTCAAGTCGTCAACACACACACACACGCACACACACGAGGCCGGGAGATGAACGGAGAGGCCAAGTTGTTGCGAGTCCGACGCATGGCCTGGTCTGCGAGAGATGAAAGGATCGAATCACGCTGCTTCACAGCTTTTGACTGGCTCCCCTATGCCGCTCGAAAGAGGTCGGCACCCGTCATACTGATGGTCTGACGTGCCTCAAGGCAAATACAAACGCGCCTCGGGCGCGCTTCTGTGCAACAGCCACCGGGACTTTCCCGCGAACTCCCACAGCATGACGCATATGTATATGCTGGTTTGATCGTTGGATTCGCCAGTCAGTTGCAGGATTGTAGATGAGCCGTGACATGGCCAAGATGCTGTCCTACCAGGCCCGCATAACGGTCGATATGTTTGCCGGTACGACTCGAGGAGACATGGTAGTCGACATGGGTGAGGATGGCTGACATGGTCGTTCACAATGACTCGCTAGTCGCTATAGATGAGCGCGAGGCGTCGCTGTTGCACGGGACGCTAGACCCCGTGTCTGCCCGTATTGGGTCAAAACTGCTGAGTTGCCTATTGAGGTGGGCTACTGTCTGCCACAAACGAACAATGGCGTATCGGGCCGGCATTTCTCGATGGTCAGGTGTCGCGGGGTAAGAGGTGTTGTAATTGCCGGGTAGCCTGTACGACAGCAGGGTTCAAAGAACTGCAGAAGTGGTGGATGTGTGGAGGAACGCAGCGGAGTCACAAATAGCTGGCGGGCGGCCTTCAACCCCAGCTTCGGAGAGAGGTCTCGAGTCCGAAGGGCGGCTTCGTTCTCCAAATTCCCCAATATCTGCGAGGTCCAAGGAACTGATTGGCACGGATGTCAGAAAATTGGGAAATCAAAGGCGTCAGACCTGACTTTGGAGAGGAGACAGGGGACGGGTGCGCGCCTAGCCGCCCATAAGCTTAAACACGGACCGCAAGGTACCTAGGGTTGGTTCGGAGGCGAGAGAAACCCTACAGAGGGTTCTCTGTACTCCGTACTTGGTGTATGTATGTATGGCCGTCCTTTGTCGAAGGGCCGTGGTTTTCGGTACTGTTGTCTGTGGCCGTAAAGCGGCGGTGAGCTATGAGCAGAGCTTGGCCCTTGTACGGATACCATCGAGAACTACGCACGGACAGAGCGAGCGCACAGGCAGGTGGGCGAGCTTTGCCCATCAACGCCGCGATGGTGGGTTGGGTATCCGTACACAACCATAAATCTAGACGCCATTCACGGGGGTTTGAGAGTTCCAGGCGCGACTCCTCTTCGGACCTAGGATACCGAGATCGTCTGCAAACAGAGAAATGGTCAAGCTTTTCCCTCTATCCCCTTTCCCTTCCGAGCTAGTACTTGTAGGACATAGATTAACTGGCAACTGAAAAGTTGGCTTTGAATCGGCGCAACAACGCTACGCCGCCCAGATCTGTCTGGAAGGGTTGGGTCAACGTGATAGGGCTATCTGGGAAGGTTCCGACGGTCCGGCCGTCTCTCCAAGCCGAAAAACCAAGCGCCTACGCAGTTCGATGCCTGCCTGATAACTGAGAATGATATAGATCCTCGGCTGGTGAGCCGACGCGAGGATCTTCAAGACGCCTTGAGGAACATGGGAGAGTTAGAGGTTGCTGAGAGTGGTAGGTGACATCAGCTGATTTCGTACGGATAGCTCAGAAGCGCTTTGTTGTGTGATATGGACAAGGAAGCCGTTGCATTGGACATGGCTTCAGTCTCCTCTAGTCCGGATTGCGGCAGTTGCAGACGTCGACTGGTCGGTCGATGCTTGGCGGTACGAGTGTTTTCATCTGTCACATTGCAACGCCCCTCCACTCTTACCCCCGTGCGTGCCGGTCGAGATGCTGGCAAGGCCGTGTCAGAACTTCGGACTTGCGCAGACGCTGCCCAGCAACTTCGACGAGGATCCGGCCAGGCCTCAAAATTACATGCGGGGTTCTCTTTCTCGGATTGGATGGCTGACACTGGAGCCGAGAGCGGCGGTTTCGAATGTGCCAGCGTTTTGCGGCTCGTGAAGCCAGCTGCAAACGTGAAGAGGGCCGCTGTGCTAGCGCGACCACGACCTCTGGGGTCGCGTGGCATATGGAATGCAACAACGGCAGAGCGGTGGGTGGTGTACCCATATTTGATGCGCAAGCGGCCTATGGTTGTTCGAATGAGGCAAGAGATCTCCGAGGCCCACATCATTCGGTAGCCAGAATCTTCATACCGGTAGGGGCAGTCCCACTCGCTCCTTTTGCATAGCTGAACACATTAGTCTGAATTTCGGGAGCCTGCCAGCGTCCACAGTGCCGTACCAGTAACCCGTTCGATCGAGAGTAATTATCGCGCTAGCCTTTCTATAGAGCACATATCTTGACCGAAGTCCGACAATAGTCAGCAGTATCGTCTCAGACACCTAAGCTACTATATTAGCAGTAGTACCCTTCCGTAGTTGTTGACTCGTCAAGAAACGGGCCGCTCAGGAATCCGGTCAGCCCTGACCCGTGCATGGATTTCTCACGCGGAACCTATCTCCCTCCAACCCCTCATGCGTCCGTGCAGTCAGAGTTAGAAGCATGAACATTGGCCCCCAAACCTGGAGAGCATGGCCGTTTTTCTTTTCGCCTCAGTGCATTAGCGCAAGAGCCCAGCGCACGACATGAGTGGCTGTCTGGCGTCGTGGTGGCATGCAGGCAATCGGTTTGGGACCTGAAGCGAAGCGGCATGAGTAGAGTGTATCCGGCTACTCCCATAAGGGGCCAACGAACACATGCCGATATGTTCTGGCTGCCGCCATGCTCCGACCAGTGTCGGGTGCGCTCGGCTTGCCAGTACCAGTGCAAGTTTGGTCGCTGCTCGGCTCTGAAGTGCATGGGATGCATGAAGGGCAAAGGTCTTTTAGACGTCAGGTGAACAACTGCGGGGCGTCATATTTCTTTCGTCCGCGTCTTGCGAGTAGTGAATTCCAAGGCGTGAGTAACAACATGGCTGCCCGGCGTCTATGACGAAGAGCTGGGGTAGCCAATTTATCCGGAAGCAGCTGTAACGCTTTTGCGCTGGTAACAAGGTTGATGCCGCAACACAGCCAGCGCATATGGCTTGGGTAGATAATGGAGGCAGGGAAGGACAAGAAGGCCGTGACTTTGCCGCGTGATAGTAGACGTGGCGGAGGACACGAATGCCTATTCCACCTAGTTCAGGAACGCCGTAGACCTGGACGTTGGTGCTGGCTAGCCGTCTTGGACCTGATTAGCAAGTGCTCTGATTCGAGCGGCAGGTGGCGTTGACGTTGACGTCGAGAGAGGTTCCACGAGAAATTCGAGTTTCGACATCTCATCTCTCCTCGCAGGTATCCTTGGTCCGCTGGAGGGGTCTGAGGAGGAGATTGAGTTGTTCTCCCGGCACATAGTACATAGGTACTTGACCACTTCCCTCCCCCGTCGAATGAACCCCACCCCCAAGCGTGAGTTGAGACGATCTTGACATTGGGCGTGACAGATCGCAATAGCAGGGAGACTAAAGCAGAAAGCTTCTCCGCAACGATCGACACGTTTCCGACTCCCCTTCAGCCGAATGTCCAGGGTGTGGTACTGTGTACCGTAGGTATGATCTCCCCCAACCCTCGGTTTTTTGGGTTTTTTCCCCCTTCCTTCTTCTTTGGATAGAGGTTGTGATGTGTTGGCGATACGTCTTTTGCTCCTTTTTTTTCTTCTTATTTTTTATTGTGTCTGATGTGTGCATATGCCTGTACCCGTGCGTTGCCGCCCTCCAAGATATTTCTGGAACCGAGCCGTCCCTCTCCGTGCTCCTGAATGTTGGCAAACCGGGATCGGCGTCGAGCATTCACCATATCTGGCTGGCATGTGGTGCGGTCCCTTACACTACTGCAGATGGCTGTGGTGTCTGAGCAGGGTGGGCTTGCTGCCTGAGAACCAAAGAGGCAAGAAGCGAAGGACCTAGATCTGGACTTGAACCTGAACCACGGATGAATGGATGGTTAGTACGGATACACGTGTAGAGCGAGACCCATTGGTTCAGGGGTGGAGGAAGAGTAGGCACCAAAAATGTCGCCATGACTCGGCTAGATTGGGTTGGATTGAAGACGGATGAGATTCCTCTTTCATGCGCAGTGGGCTGGGCCATTGCCTTGGAGGCCACAGTTCCCGGTCGAGTACCACAATGTGAGACAATCAGAACCGAGTTTTGAGGGAGGGGGAGGGATAGAGCAGGGCACAATTGGAGACTCCCATCTTGGCGCGAAGCTGGAAGCACCTTTTGTAACGTTGTTCTTGTTGGATTTCGACGGTAGGGAGGAGGGAAGAGTGGCTGAATGCCTCACGCTCAAGTTCACGGCCCCGCCTGGATGCGTAGAGCAGAGCAGGCAGGCACGGCACGGCAGGGTACCAGCCGTTATCGAGGAAAGTGGGTCCAGACAGCCCGATCGAGGAGGAGCTACCCACGGCCCCGGCAGGATCACCCAGCCAAGTCTGGGTCAATCCCGAAATGTCCTTCCTATTGTGCAATTCCTGACAGCGCACGCCGCCCGCTACGGCCATGGAAGAACGGATATGACGTTAATCAGCAATGACTACCTACACATGCTAGCATCCCAGCCAGAAGGAACAAGGGCACGCCGGGGGAAGGAGGGTAAGCAGGAGAGGGAGCCCCCACGGTTGAGAGTAGCAGTAACATGCCATTTCATCCGCAGCGGCCGCCTTTCACAAGCCGTTACCAGAGCCAGACATCGGATATCGAGGGTATCGGGTCCCAAACAAATCCAACAAAGGTCGGATCAGAGTGCGGACGTGCGTGCGGGTGCCGCCCGTGCAGCAGTACAGCAGCACTATACTGGCTGCACTTACACGTGCCGAGGCATGTCGTCTGTCACCTGGATCATCCATGTATGGCCGCTTCCCCCTTGTATCGTTACAAAAGTCAACCTATAGCCCGCCCACCGGTCCCTGAAGCCTACCTTGGCTTGACCGAGGCAAGCCGGTCAAGGATTCTGTTGTATCCCGTCTTTCCCCCTCCCCTCTTCAGTGACCCATTCCCAACTGTCTCCGTTTCCCATCATGCACTAGCTAGGTAGGTGCAGAGTAGCGGTATATGTGGTTGGCGGCTACAAGGTGCCTGATACAAGTGTTCGTTTGCGACCAACACAAAAGAGGCAATCTTTACGAATGGGCAACAGGCATAACCTGAGAACACGCCATGCTCGTCATTCGCCGCCGATGCTTGATGGGCTTTTCATCCGCGGCAGGCAGACAAACTCGGTGTTGGGTTGGGGGTTGCCGAGCGGATGCTATCCCTCTGGGTAGGTAGACAGAACGAGATGAACAACAATAGGTCTTCTCGTCCCTGGACTAGCATATCAAGTGCTGGTACCAGACGCCAACAGCAGAGTCTACACGCGTATGCCTGGGTCTGTAGGAAGCCCGTGGTTAGTAGAAAAGTCGTGTCGCAAGCTGCACCAACAACACCCCTACGATGTGTACTGAAGGGCCGATTCGATGACCCAATCTTGGGGCCCGGCCAGTGCCGGCTTGACGAAGGGGGTCTGGTACCCAATTGTGAGGACTCATGACAGCGGAACTTATCCGTGTCGTACCCGATCTCCCCTTTGCTGTTCTGCCGACGTCAGTGTTGAATATCCTTTTCTTGTTTTCGAGCAAGATCGTCGCCCCCTGCGAGTGGTCCTTACAGGGCGGGCGGGCGCTTTAGCCGGGAGCATTGTCTTGAACGAGCAGGAGCAGGGCGACGGAAGCCAGAGGGTGACAGCATTGCTGGGGATCCTGGGGTTGCAAGAGCGCAGAGCCTAATGAAGCTCGCCTATGTCGCTAATCTTCTGGAACAGGGACAAGAGCGCACAGCACGGCACAGCATTTCATGGCACATTGGCGGTTTCTTTTCCCTCTCGGCTCGGCTAGCCTGTCGTTTGTGGTTGACGGGGATGTCGGACGGTAATTAAACGTCTGCCAGATAGTGTTCCGGGGTAGGTGCATGCATACCATGTACAGGTATGTAAGGTAAACTACCTTATGTACGTATGCAGTTTGGACAAGTACCGGCTTCGACAGATGCCGCTTGGGGTTGCTGAGACACACCAGCGGCCATCAACTGGGCTCCTCGTGGCCTTGCACATTGCATGGGTGGTGGTACAAGGCGCGCTCCCCGGGTTCTATTCGAAAGGTGCCAAGGACACCGTCGACGGCGGTCAACAAATCGCACGGTTTTCCCTTTATGCGTTGTTTCAGGGTGCTGCGGAATCGAGTGGACGAACCCCGAGTACGAATATCATGGCGAGACCGATGAGTAGATGAAAGAAAGATGGGAAAATGAAGCTTGGGGGGGCGCTGGAGAACTTGGCGTGGCGTCACCCGGTGCGTCGTGTCTGGCGTGTGGCGTGCCGTGCCGTGGCACGGAAGGTTGAGGCCGTGCGTAACGCATTCAGATTGCAAAGTGTCTGATTGGCTCGTGGGTAGGTAGGTAGGTACCCGCAAGAGGTCGGTATACGGAGTATTGTCCTCTATCCAAGTTCTCCCCTCCCATGTCACTGGAACTGGGCCAACGGATCTTTCTCGAATGGATTTTTGTCTGTCTGGAACCTACCTTATCAAACTGGCAGCCGCCAGCAAGTCTGCGAATCAACCAATGCCCGTAGCGCCCTGGATGGCGGATAGGTGGGCACGCAAGGCACACATGGCGCGTCAAAAACACAAAACCGACCACAAAATGAAAGGTACCTCTGGCAGGTACGTACCTATACGTACCTTTCGGCGGACTGTCGCCCTGTCTGTCGTTCCTTTCCCTTTCATCATCCATATGGCAATTTGCCATGTTCCTAACACCATCAATACCCTGATTACCCGTATTTCTCTCATGTTATTTGATTGTGCTCCCCCTCTCCCCCCCCCCGTCCATCATCATCATTACACAGTCACACTCACAGTGTCCGCTCGCCGCATCGTCATGCCGGAGATGGAACTCGTTCCGGCCCTGAGGAGATTTCATTTCGCGCATTTCAGTCCCACACATTCCCTCCGATAAGTGCCGCTTGCGAGAGGCCGCAGGGGAGCAGAAGCCCCCCCCCCCCCCCTCAGCAGACCGGCACCAGTACCAGCATCAGCATCGAAGTCCGACATTGCCGGGTGCATTCTCGCAGCATCCTTTTCCCTTTCTTCGCAAGCGAAATATCCTAAGTAGCCCTGTATCCACTGCAGTCCGGCTCCAGCTTCGTCAGTTCTCGGAACCAAGCCTACCTTCAACCACACGACCAAAGCAGATGATATCTCATGTCCTCAGGCACTGCCCTACATTTGACCTCTCCCCCGCCGTCTGAGATGGCCTGCTGCTTGCTGCCGGTCTGGCCCGTTTGGGATAAGCGGCCTGTCCATCTTGCATCTCTTCTGATCACACAGAGCGCGCGCGATGCAGTCAGTGGCGGCGCGCTGCAGCGATGACAAGTATTGCGCCTGCTCATACCGGTAGCTCGCCGCTCATTTCTTTAGGACCCCACACGTCCGTCCCTCCCTCCAACATGGATCCCGGTTGCCTGCTTCGCCTCGATGCTCTCGCGTACACGACTCTGCATGTCAGTTCGCGTGAGTCGAGAAGAAATGACACCACAGCATAAAGCAGGTACATGACAGTGGTCAGCCACGCGAGTCTGCCTGCAGCAGCTATCCCTCCTGTCTCGAAGAGGGAGGGAGGTCGTCGCCTCGCAACAGCTTGTTGGCCCGCTGGATCCAGTGCTGACGCACCATCTCGGATACCCACAGCTTGGTCCTGGAGGTTTCCTTTCTTTTCCCACCTTCTTCTTCTCTCTTGTCCTATGAGCTTGTTTTATGTACACTGCAGAAAGAAGGTTGAAGGTACGGATACTGGCAGGCCACATTAGCCCTGTCCTTGTCCTTGTCCGGCTTTGCTTTTACCTTTGCCGCGAGTCGGTCGGCCTCTTGCATTTTTTTAATATTGCTCGGCATGTTATTCTCCTTGCCCCATTGCCACTGCTGGTCTAAGGAAAACGGCCAAGTTTCCTCTCTGTCCCCTCCGTTACCGACCCTCTTTCTGTGCTCCTTTTGTGGGAGTCGGCATCGGGCTAGGCAGCCGGGTCTTGTCGAGCTGGGTCTCTTTAGGATGGACCAACGACGTGCCATCCCGTCGTCGGGCAGGCCTGCCAAATGGCTGAGCATCGCATAGGGGACAAGTGGTCCGTCATCTGGGACACAACCTATCTGCACGTATTCGTATATACCTACCTACCTACCTACCTACCTACCTATCAAGGCACCTACCTAGCACTGGATACGTAACTTCTCACACATAACACTGCACTGCCATACCTAGGTGGCTATGTATTTGTATTTTAGATTACTCCGTTCATGAAAAATGGATGGGGGGAGGGACAAGGGCTGGTTGGTGTCAACCCCAATATCCATCACCCATCATCCCCGCCTACCAGCAAAGGCCCCTCCCGGCCCCCCCAGTCGTATCGAGACTTTGGACAGGAAAGAACAAGACAAGGCTCTGAACTTACCCCCCGCACCCCGTCTTTCACGCTACCGAAGCAGCAACCCTGCCCCATCTTTCCCCAACATCGTACCCACCTGCTCTCCCGAGTCCTTCCCAAGCCGCTCACACCTCCTTCCTCGGTCCTTTTGGAGGGGGGGTTCCCTTCTCCTCATTCTCTCTTTCTCTCATCCTCCGCTCCGCTCTTCCTCACCTTGGTACCTCGATAACGGATGCCTTCTCGGCTGTTTAGCCTACCGGCTACCCGCCTTCACAACTTGCTCCTCACTCATGTACGAATTCTTCTTCTCTGTACCGAGTACTCTGTACTTGTCCAAGCATTCCACACACACACACACACACACGCAGTCGTCCCATCCCATTCCAAGGTGATCCAGGCCCGACTACCACACATCCTCCAACTTTCTCTCGACTCGACATGCTGGTGTGCACTACTACCACCCCCGGCTACCCTTCTTCTTGTTCTTCTTCTTCTCCTTCTTTTCCTTCTTCTTCTTCGTCTTCTTTTCCGGGGCCTTTGGTACAACCTTTGCTTCTCGTCCGCCTCGCAGGCCTTGTCAATTTCTGACCCCCCTCCCCCCTCCCCTCCCCCCCTGACCTTGTAACAGCTCCCTTCTGGTTTGCCCCCCTGCCGATGCTTGTGCTTGATGCATCCGAACTGCTTACTTCCCAGGGCAGGGCGACGGGGGATGAACAGATCCTAGTCGGGTGCACTAGCCACCTCCACAAGTTTGTCTCCCTGCTCCGAGAGACAGACAGTACTGCTGGGGGTGAGGGGGCAGTCATCAATTCACCTCCTCCTGGGCTAGGCCTGGCAGCCTCTTTGCCTTTCCGTGCTTCATAACTTCGACTGTCTCCCCGATGCCGACTCGCTAGCTCGGCCTCTTTTTCTGGTTTCTGTGCTTGTGCACTTCTCCACGAACTCTGCCAGTCATCATTCTTGGTCTATACTGACCAGACGACTCACCACGCCCAACTAAAGCTGCCTCGACATGTCGTGAAGGGCCCATCTGTCTGCGAAAGAGCCTACGCTAGCTACCCAAACATACTGAAAACAACAGCGTTGCTTGCCACGTCTCGTGACTAGTCCCGTCACCACTCACCATCTGCCCGTCCGATAGCACCTCAAAACGTTGGATAATGTCGACATCTGTCTACGAACATATGAACGGAATACTGCCCCCCGGCCTTCACGAAGTGGCAATGTCACGTCCACAGGTCGGTATTGAGCGCCTACCAACCCGCCGGCTAAGCAACGAACCTCGGGAGTCCATGAACTGCAAGTCATGCCGCAAGCGCAAGGTGAGACAGCATGAGTGCTTCTCCTGCTACTCAGTCCAACCGTGGCTTCTCCGCCACGCATAAACCAACGTCTAACTCATATCAAACATCAGATCAAATGCAATCGACTACGCCCATCCTGCGAGGCCTGTCAGGTATTTCAGTGCCCTTGCGTATATGGTGAGTAGACTGTCTTTCTACCTAAGACGATGAAGCCATGGCGTCGATGGCAGGTGACGGTGACTAACAACTTTCGCTTTTGCCTCCTTTCAGACGCTGTTCCCAAGAAGCGTGGGCCAAAGACGGACGTGCTGGAAGCGCTCTTGAAGAGAGTCGATGGTCTGGAAGCAAAGTTGAAGGAGAAGAACGCAGGGGAAAAGACCCCGACCACTCCGACCACTGCGGGCCTCAAAGACGAAGACGCTTCGCGATCAGAAGACAGCCCTGAGGATGACCCCAATCCTAACCCCAAACGCCTGGCACTGGACACCAAAATTGACGCCGATGAATCAGCCGTTTATTCGCCTGCCCCGGCAAGGTAGGCCACGATGCTAAAAGAGCTTGCCGTCGTTGAGCTGACTTTTACCAGTGAACCCTCGCCGCCCAGCGTCCAGCCCGATGCATTATTGGATACATACTTCACAAGATTCCACTCCAAGCCATATCACATCTTGGACGAATCTTCCGTTCGGCAGCGGCTTCAGTTAAACCAACTGCCAAATTATTTAGTTCATGGCATATACGCTGTTGCTGCGAGGTAACAACCATGACTCGATGGCCGGAAAAAGCTTGCTGACCTGCTGGGTAGATACACGCCTCATCCAAGTGGATACCAATCAGCTGTTCACCTGAGCGAAGAGTTTGCTTCACGCTCCAGGGCCGAGATTGATACAGATGAGCCTTCAGTTGACGCCCTTCAGGCACTGCTTCTGCTCGTCATTGCCTTTACTGCAGCAGGCAAAGGCAAAAAGGCGTATATGTTGATGAGTAAGTGATGGGATCATCGTACCGGCGAGTTGGCTAACAGACAGAAAGCAAATGCAGTGGGCATGGCAATGGCTCTTGAGACTCACCGCGAGCTGGACAACAACGCCCGGGTCACTCCCGTCGAGCGAGAAATGAGGCGGAGACTATTCTGGACGTGTTATCTGCTTGACCGATTTCTGGCGTGCGGTTCGAAGCGCCCCTCTCTCATCGGCGACAAGGCCATCCTCCTCCGGTTGCCATGTTGGTCGCCCAATCCTTCCGTCCCCCCGATGGATGGAGAGTTCTTCCAACCCGGATCCAACTTGCAGTTTCTCCAGGGCAGCGGGAAGAAGTCTCAAGGGAGCACTGGAATGCTCATCGACATCAGCCGTATCCTTGGTATCACAAACCGTTACCTGGCGGCAGGAGGTGTGAAGGGCGACTCCCACTTCCCGTGGCACTCGCTGTCGAACCTGTCCAAAATTCGCCAAGACTTGGATATCTGGGCATCCGGCACTGAAGATGTCTTCTCGAGCCTCGACACGCTCTTTGGCCAACCCGACTCAACGATTCTGGTACTGAGCAAGCTTATATACCACCTCATTCACTGCCTTATTTACCGGCCCTTTCTGCCTATCGACCTCGCCGAGCTTGCGGGAACCGGACAGCACCAGTCTTGGCAGATTGAAGCGACGAACATGTGTTTCTTGCACGCCAACGCCATCTCCGAACTGGTGGAACTTGGAAAACAGACTGGCACGATCGAATGGCCGGCGTTTGTAGGATATTGCATCTGCACCGCCGGCACAGTTCATATCCACGGCGCCCACTACAACAAGAACGGAGGTGGCGATTCGACTGTTTTCGGTATGTCGGCGGACTTTTTGTCTCGGGAGATGCAACAGTTGAGCGAGCTGCGATACGCCTGGGCTAGCGTCCAGCATCAGAGGGAGACGCTTCAGGGCATCTATAACGCTCATGCAGAGCTGGTCAAGAGCCTCGGGAACAACGCTATGCGGCACTCTCCAGCATTCCACCTTGAGGACTTTTTTGACCGGTACTCCAACATTGGCGGACCGGGCGGGCAGACCTTCAACTTCGATGCGGCGAACCTGAGTCTTTCTGATATCGTCGTCGACTTCACTACAGATACGTACACAGGTCATGACCTGTACGCGCCTCGCGCAAACAGCATGCACGAACAAGAGCGGCCCAGTTTGAAGCGAAAGAACACGGCTCCGTCCGGCCGGAAGCGCCCAGATGGCAAAGTACTCTCGCCGCTCAGCATCACCCGCATGGCGTCTCCTCATGGCCTACCGACGCCGTCTCATACTCGCCATTCGTTTTCACATCACACACCAACAATGGCCGCCCACCCCTCCCCGGGGCTGCTTGCAACACCCGTCTCTCTGCCTCCACACCCCGAGGCGATGGAGCACCATTCAATACCTGTAGCTCACGGCCGCTACGATGAAGTAGCAGCCAATAATGCGGCTGTGGCGGCAGCTGCGGCCGCTGGGTTCTCGCTCGGGCATCAGCCTCACCATCAGAGCAACATGCCTGCACATCCCTCATCCTCCTTCCCTCCTCAATTCAGCTTCGCCACTCCTGGTCAAAGCGGGAGCAACGAGGGAGGCGGCACTTACGATCCTATGTTTGGCAGCTTGCCCACGAACGCGTTCAGTAGCCCAGCGGCCTGGCACGGCGATGATGGAGGAAACAAAGCGGCGGGGATTGCCGCGCCTAGTCCAGGGACCAAAAGCAACAACGGCAGTACGGGTACTGGTCCGGGCGAAGAGAAGGACCCCTTTCTAAGTCTACTAGAGCACCTTGCGGACAACGAGCATCAGATCACACGAGGCCCCGGCAGTGAGCTCGACTTCTTCTTTAGCGGCACCGGAGCAACACAGTGAAGGACACCGACCCGATGCGATCGTTTTTTGGCAGCATGATGCCTCTTTATTTGTATGCGATTTTCTTTTGAACCCTGCTCGGAGGGCCTGCGGGGACAGAGGTCAATATGTAGAGAAGGATGAGTACAGCACTTCCGGACGGCGACGCTTGATGACGCAATGACGTAGCATGCGCGGGAGTTTTTGGGAGACGGTTGCTTTCCGAGATGATGTGTAAGATGAGCTAGCATATTGGACTCGTAGCTTTTCAATTATGGGCTTTCTTGGGAAGAGGTCAGGAGAAGATTACGGTCTGGAAAAAAAGAAAAGGGGAAAGGGGGCTAGTTCTACCATTCATGATCGCCAGGCGACGGCTCGTGATATGGGCATTTCATCCCATCCGCCCTGATATCGCCCGCTTGAGGGTATTTGAGCTTATTCGATGAGTTCTCGGGCTCAGGTAAACGCTTAGAAGAGCCTGTTTCAAGCAATTAAGCAAGAAAAGAAAAAGCCCACGAAGACATCTCACCTACGCTACGTGATTGTGTTCATCAAGATGGCTCGAGAGTGGGAGCCTACCTAGTTCAACAGCGCGTCGGGCTGATCCGACCGGAATTCCGAGGAACCTTGGCTCGCCGGTTCCAGCACGTCCGGCACTACCCCATTTCTCTTGTCTGCCGGCCGAGGCCTCTCTCTGTGTACCGAAGGGGGCCTCGTCCGGCGCCGGGTCCGGGGACGACCAGTTTGGTTCAGATATGTTACTTCATGCGGGAAGAGAGGCGATATGGCACGCGAACTTTTGTAAAAAGAATAATTAAAAATTCGTTTTTTGTGTGAGACGGGATGACGGATGCCTCGGGGAGGTCGGCGTCAATGATATGGATACAGACGCGCGCGCGCGCACACACACACACACACTCACACACTCACACACAGAGAAAAGCAGACTGTTTTTTTTTCTCTCTTTTTTCTTCTCCTAGACTCCTTCCCATCGAGCAGAGCGGCGTAAGGACGGTGCTGGCGGCTCCAGGGTTACATGGGCTAACGATGGGGGGGGGGGGCGTATTGTAAAGTAGGGTTGCAAAGTAGGGTTGTAATCGTTTTTGGGGAACGGGAGAGAAGTTGGGGTCTTCCGGGTGCCCGGGCCGTCGCATCTCAGGGCCAACCCCTCGCAGGTCTTTTCGGTCAGTGTGAAGGGTGGATGGTGACGTAGGGTGGGGAGTGTAAGACGGTGTGTTTCCGCAGTTCCAATGGTTCGAGTGATGAGGTGGGGACTCGGCGTGTGTATGAGAGAGAGATAGAGAGAGAGATCCTTTCATGACGGATTTCCTGTTCCCCCAGAGGTACATGGACAGGCACGCTTGAAATGATTATCGGCGGATGGAAGGTTCTACAGGATAAAGAGGGAGCGAGGGCAGATGGATGGGCAGGTGAGAGTGAGAGAAAAGGGCGGTGATGCGTAAAGGGGGAGGAGCTTGGTGTGGTTGGATGTCCGTGGACTGGGCGGAGGCTACACGGACAAGTTTTGGGGAAATTGAACATTCAAGTCAGGGGAAAACCGGAAGGGGGGCTGGTGTTGGTGGAGTCGGGGTTGAGCAGTGAGTCCGGGGGGAGAGAGTGCCGCATTGCGGGGTGCGGGGGGTGAGGTGGGTTGTTGTAGGTGGTTATATGGGTTTGGAAAGGTGCGATTGGAGAAACCAGACTCGAAGTCTTATGGCATGACGAGTCAGGGTAGGATTGAGTAAGAACTTCTGCACTCAAGAGACGTGTGGTTTGGAAGCAGGGGAGGGGGCTGCTTACATCCGCGCTGCCGACTTATTGTGCTCTGTCCAGCGAATCTAGACAGCGTAGACCGGGCCGCTCGGCTCGGCGGATCCCATTCCGGCACTGCCGTTGTCAGGCACCTTCTTTTTGGCATTGCTGCGAGGCCCCTTCGAGCACATCTACTGCTCTTCGTTATTCGGTGCGTCGAGCCCTCAAACACCCGTATTTACGGCCCGCCCTTGAGATGTATTCGGGGCTAGTGTTGATCTTTGGATGGCTCGGCACTGCTTTTTTTCTTCTTCTTTTTTTTTACCATGTTCCTTTTGCCATCTTGACACCTACTGTCGTCTAAGTCGGGAAATTTTAGAACGAAAAGCTTCTTGGAAACCGAGTGTATAGTTACCATGTATCGACAAGTCTATGGCCTGTGCCCATTCCTTGGTAAAGACCCTCGATATGAGCAAGCCCTTCTACAGTCAACTCTGACGCTGCTTCATGATGACCTTCCCATCCCTGAGTTTGGGCAATTATCCTCGCGGGCCCGGGCCCAAGGTGAGCACTTTGCAAACGGGGAATGACCTCGGAAGATGATTCAATGGAGTCTCTCACAATTAACAATGTGAGGGCACAGGGTCAGCCTAGTGACCCATCTGTTACGGCCGCACTTCACACCAATGGGTGCCGAAGCGGAAGACATGCTATCCAGTCAGGATTCCATATCCTCTCTATACGGCTCTTCTCGGCACTTTGATGCTGGGGGAAGACAGGCGGTGCGCCTGTCCGTCCCCTCGCTCGCCCCCACACCTGGAGCAGTTCCTGTAATTCCGGACGCCAATCCGCCGAGCAACTCGCCAAACCAGCTTGGCTAAGATGTTCCAAAAAAGGGGTTTTGGCTTCTGGCCTCCGCGGCACAGACCTAAACCGCTCCCCATCCTCGTGGCAAGACTCATTCTTATGTGGATGGCTACTATACCCGCTTGCACCGAAGCGACCGGACAGTCGCTTTGGCAAGCGAGATGTGCCTGATTTGGTCCTCAAGACATACCGTTAGATGGATTCACGAACACATGCGTCGGAGACTACTCCGCGGCCACCACCGCCAGCCGTGGTGTCCAATTCAAGTTAACAACACCAATTCGTGCACCTGCTTCTGCACGGGAGGTTGCGGATCTTTTTTTGCGTTCTCAAAGAACTTGTTCGGACCTGGAGATGGCAATGCATCCCTAATCCTTGGATGGCCTTTCGAAACGGACGGCGCGGAATATCATGCTCAACTCACAATCGTGAGTGTAGACGTACGAGGCAGGCCGCTGAAATAACAAGACCAAGTGTGTTTGTCATGTCTTGCCAAAGGGACGGGCAGAGCTAAGACTGGATCAATCGAAACCCAAAATTTTGCTCGCTTCATATCTCGCGGACGTATTGTAGGGCTAGATGCGGCCACGGCCCGCGGTGGCTATCCATGGATGCTAGCAAACCCTGAATATGTGGCACATTTACCGGCTCAATGCTGTTCGCCAAGTTACTAACATCGTCCGAACCATGCGAGGAGGGTGGACGGCGCAATTACCCGAGTGGGGGTGGTTGAAGAGTTACTAGGATAATATTGTCCTTCGTCGCACGCTTTTGAAGCCGAGTGGAATGTCGAAAGTGTCCACTGCTTGCAAGAGGATTCAACCCGATCAACAAGACTGACAGCTCTCCTCGCTCGTCTGGTAGTAGCCAAACCGACTTCCCCAGCTTTTACGACGAAAGAGTGCACTCCGTTGAGGAAATAGCCGGGCCATGAGGATCCCGCTCTGCCGTCTATGCCTAATCGTAGCAGACCATTCGGTTAGGATTGGTCCGGCCTTTGATACATGATCGGAGCCGCATGCGACGAAGCTGGATCTTGAAACTGGAAGGTCTGCGACCAGACGAGGCGGCTGCGGCTTTTCAGGCTGCAGACATCCGTCATCACGTGGTCACACGGGTGCTCGTGCACAACAGCCATTCATGGGGCCCACTGTCGATGAATTAAGCTTATGTCCTCGAGCCGTACGCAATGACTCGCAGTTGTTTCGTTTGACGTGTTAATCGTGCAAATAACGTTTCCTTGCGTGGACTACCCTGGCAACCCAGGATTGGGTTGGGATAAGGTAGCATGCGGCGGAAAGGCTGTAACAGACGCAGAATATATTTTGCCCATATCTGGCAACGAGTCGATTGCGGAAACGGGGTGGATCATAAACGTTACTATGAACTCGAGTCACCAGATTCCCCTGGCATGACTCGATGTCGTGGAGACGGGTAGTGTCTATCGCAAGAAACTTGCTCTGATTAGACGAGAGCAGGTCTCCGAGGACGTGCAGCGCAACAACTGTGAAATGAGATAACTCTCCCAAGTGCCCAGCTACACTTTTGGGATGCTATCACGTCAGTATATTGGGACAAATCAGTCTCTATTGGGACCTTGGGCAGAGCCACCTGCTTGGCTGATTTGCTCGTCTGATGCAACTCTTTTGGTTTTGTTCGGGTTCATATAGGGATTTGAGGAGGCGGTACCTACGTCCTTGCGAATGGCCTCGATGATACATGGCTCATCCTTGCTGCTGGCAGAAGTAACCATGGGGTCAGACATTGTGTCGTTCAAAGTAGCAGCACTGGGTTATCCGGATGACGTATTCCTCCTGGGAATAATCTGTTTTGCATATAACGGTACAGACGAGAGTTGGAGCGAGACGAGAGTTGGGACGAGTTGAAGACCAATGAGAAAAGGCGACCTGCTGTTGAGAGAAAAGACTTTGAGAAATTTTGGCCGCAGTGATCTGACCTGACCAGCGGCAGCGGAGCGGACATTGACCATGAGTTCTTACTCTATCCAGCAACGACGCCAATTCTTGGCATCGGAAGTACTTGGAAGTGGAGGAAAGTCGTACAAGGTTGGCTTCCGTGATGACCGAATCGTGGCAGCCGAAAATGCTTGGCTCAGGACGTCAACCCGATAAGTAAGTTGATCGCAGAGCTAAAGTGCCGGTAACCAGCAGGCGTCCAAACGGCCGGAAGGGTTCGCAATATACTCTGAAACTCGCACGTCAAGATTTTCAGCTTCATCGTCTTGAAACCCCATAGGCTGTAGTTGGTGGAAACGGGCCAGTGGATTGTATCTATGGCGACCCAAAGGTACTCTGCGGGAGCGCAGCTGTTGCCCAAGGTTGCCGATAGTCTTCATACCGAATATGGACACCGGAGGTTGCCGACGGCATCCTCTGGTCGATAGATTGGCCTCGGCGTGGTGGCATTGATATGGTTCATAAGAAAGAAGGTTCTCCTGTGACGGTTTGGACGACGTCGCTTCTCCATGGTACAGATAGGATTTCGACCAAGGTTGGTTTCGGCAGAATGCAATTTTTTGACTCTGGTAGGAGACTACTCGTTGAAGTTGTTCACAACTCCAGGTCGTACCTTCGTATATGATGGCCGAGCCAGCGTGGCGTCTAGGTGGTATGGGATCGGTTCGACTGACTATGGAGCATGTATGATACATTCGCCGTCCAGATGTGGCCATTTATAATTTGTTCGCAATGATTCCGATCACCTACCTACCTATCTGATGTCTTTGTTGCACCTGCTGGATTTGGGTGCTACGAGAAGCTTGTCGCAAAGCCAAGTCTGCCCAATGAATGCACCGGCGAGCCGAAGTGCTTTGTGGCGTACGATTCCCATAGATGCAGCGCCGTTCCGCCAAGCAAAATGCAGAGAGCCAGCCAGACAAGGGTAGGTACAAGAAGGATGACAGCAGTCGAGTCCTAGCATCCCAAGCGATGTGTGTGTGACTGATTGACGAGCACTGGCGTTGCAGCCGATTGCCTTGGCGACATGTAAAAATAATGCATGGACGGATCGTTCGGGCGAGAGAGAAGGGTGTCGGGCGATGGAGGGTATGACGATGACGGTAGGCAAGCGAAATACACAGTAAAGGCACCTAAGGTAGGTGCGGTCGGTAAGTACAAAGAGGGGTACGTACACGTACAATGAGGGGGTCCTTCCTGCCTGGCTGGCTACAGTGTCGGTTCCTTCCTTCCATGCCCAGCCAGCCAGTTGCACTGCAATTGAGATGCAATTGGTCTGCCTGCGGACAAGATAGGAAGATTATCCCCAGCCAGCTTACCTACATTGTACATAGGTACCTAGTATATTGACTGGCTTTGGCACTGGCATTGGCATTGACATTGATCTCACCGTTGATCTCACCGTCGATGCCACGAGAATCGCCGATGTGACACACCGTGCTCTTCCCTTCCCGAGTTCCGGCAAGCAGCGGCATTGTCAGCGGCTGCTGTTTGCCTTTCCGGCTGGCAAGATGTTTCCTTTTTCGCCTGCGGGTGCACCACACCACCACTCCATCCTGGAGTCCGTCCGTATTCATCGGGCTAACCAGGTAATGACAGATGACACAAGTGCAGTGGCTGGCAGTACCGATAGGTACGAAGATAATCACCGCGCCGAGGCTCGCACAAACTTCGGTCCTATTTGTCGCGTCATGGTGAGGGGTCCCCATTCGAATCCGTCCCACCGCCTTCGAATCCATCCACCGCCTTCGAATGTCAGCCAAGCATTCTGCAAAATACACCGTAGACGCATGCATTGATCAGCTAGCTGGCTTCTTGGCACCGGGGCTCGGCCAAGAAGTTTTCTGCTCTCCAAATTGCAGCGAAGTGACGTCTCTCCACTCTATCGTCGTCCTCGTCGGGCGGTGGGAGCGCGCTTATCTATATTTATCGTATCGCATATATTTCATCACCGCATCATCGAAGAAGGCGCGCAATACCGTATCTTCTCGTTAAATCCGTCTTTAGCTACTGCCCGAGCTAACGGCAAGGGGAATAGCAGCGGCCGAATGAGGGCTAGCGTGTCGGCAGAAACAAGGCTACTTGGTTGGTTGATGGGTTGGCGAAGTTGATTGGAGCAGTAGGTGAGGAGATGGATGGATGGACCGCCTTCTATTGTAGGCTTAGCTCTTTGGCGGCCGCTACACTACTTTCGGTTAGCTCGTGCAGTAGCTTAAGACTGATTTAACGAGAAGATACGGTATCAGCTGGAGAAAAGCGGAGAGGGGGACCTGGACTGGGGAGGGGGGGGGAGTACACTAGGCGTCGTGTGGCACTCGTGGCAAAGGCGTCAACTAAGTTTAGGGTTGGTGTTCCCAGTGATCCGGATCTTGCATTCGGGTACTCAAAAAGACGACACTTTGGGCTCGCTCCCTTGAAAAGGCACAAGCGAGCAGGGTTTTTCTTTTTTCTTGATGTACAGATATGTACGATGTACGGATACAAGTACTATGTATACCAGCAGAGAGACAAAGCTACCCACACGAAATGCGGGTTCCTTAGACGACGACCCCTCTCATCCTGTCCCGAGCCACATGCTGCCCGGTGCTCCTCTCCGGCTTCGCCCTGGATTCGTGGACGCCCATGGAAGATGGAGAAGTCCTTTTGCTGGTCTCGCGGTCTGATCCAGGGTTGTGTGTCTGGGTAACAAACTTCGCCCCTCCCCCCTCTGCTATGTAGCAGGCATATTGTCGAGCCTGGCCGGAAATGGACCAGAATCCGGGGTAGTCCCGTCTCAAACAAACTTTTGATTGGTTTGCGCAGCACCGAGGATCGCCATTTCTCTATGTCATCGCCCACCGCCTACCGCCCATTGCTACGCCAGCGGTAAAAAATGCCAAAAAAAATAAAATCCGCTCCTGCAATGCCGCCGGAAGAACCCCGAATACAGATACCAGTACGAATACTGTAGGTACTTGTGCATGAGGAACGGGGGGGTGCTTTGCGCCATTTTGCTGTGCTCCAGTGTATCGTCACTTTCCGGTCTTCGCACTGATGGAAGAAAGCAAGTCGGGTGGGTGGCTGGCAGGATGGCAGGCAATATGTACATACCGGATCCACGCACCGCTACACTTACTGCGTCGCTCTTCTGTCATGACCTGCCGTCCCTAATATACCTTTTGCTTGCCAGTGCACGCACACACACACACACATGGCTACTGACACGCGCGTACACACCACACAGACGACACAGTTTGCACCTTCGTTCGTCCTTTCTGTCAGCCATCCCATTCATCCGCCTCTCTCAGTCATCCAATAGTCTCCGCACCGCGGTGGATTTCCGCAGTAGGTAGGTTGGTATGTGGCTTGTACGAACACAGACATGTACTTTGAGACGCTGGGCAATGGAGGGCCCACGGCTAATCTCGCTCTGCCACTCCCACGCGCTGAGCTAGAAGGGGGGTTCAAAAATCCTCATCGATTCGCATCATGGCCCACTCATATTTGTGCTCTCTTTCATTCAAATCACTTCCACAGTATGTACGTACCCGCGCAAGCATCTACCTACACTACCTAGGTAGGCACCTTAGTCTGCGACCTGGATCAGAAAACTCTGCAACGGCTGTGGGACAGACACGACACCAGAAGCGAAAGAAAGGCACACACATCACACTCTGTTTAATCATGGTCTGTACTATGTACGTACCTACTTAGTGGTGTACTTTACTTTGCCTATTAGGTGTGTGATGTACTTACGGCCCTGATCCATGGAACCCACACACCACCATCTTACCTGAATGAGCATCTTGGCTGGTCAAGGTACCTCCTCACATGAAATACCTGGCCATGTACACTCCTCCGTTCACTACGGCTCCGCCAACACAACCAGCCCACCAAACCTTCTGCCAAGCCCAAAGACAAGCATCCACACCCCAAGCTCCGTCCGTCCTGTCCATCCAGCATTATTGCCTGTTTGTTGGCTTACCGAGCTGTCTGTCTTCGGTTCAAACTATCATTCTCATATTTTCGACATTTCTATTCTTGTTCCATCTCTCGCCCTCTCTCGTCCATTGTCGCCCTGGGTCATTTGCCGCCGCCATCGAAGTTTGCCGGGCAATCAACATCGCACCCGGCTGCTAAATTCGCTCGTACGACGCTGCATCATCCGTCCTCTACCAATTGGGTTCCGAGTCTTGGTTAGACACCGACCCTGCTCGAATTGCCGGTCACGAGGACGAGGATATTCCCGCAAGCTTACAGCCACCAACATTGGATGACTGCGGCGGCCACGACGACGACGACGACGACGACGACGACCAAGACAACGACGAACACGCTCAAGCTTTCAACCTTCCTCCTACCCCGGATTTTGGCATTCCTCCCCGTGAGTTAGGTTGACCTGCCTGCACACACCACCGCCGAGCCCGCCCTACGAAGTATACAACGTCCCGACTCCCGCCAGACTGAACCTTCCGCCACTTCCTCCCTGAGCGAGCGCTCCCGACCTTCACTGCTGTGCAACTTGAACGAACCCGTACCCGGGAATTTCGAGATCGAGCGGATTGCGCGCCCAAAACCAACACCCCGACTGCGTCCATGTGTCAGAGCTTCGAGTCATGGCATGCTTGTCGTCAGTCTTCAGTTAACCACCTTGTACCTCTCGCCAAACCCCCGTGGCGGTGAACGCCCCCCCAATCTACACGTTCGGTCGTCGCCCTCTCGCCGAGCATGTTATCTGTCAATGCGACAGATGATAGTGTCCCGGATCGCGGCCCGGCAGTCTTTGCCGTGACCACCGCAACATTCGTCCTAGCGAGTGTCATGGTCGCCGCCCGTTTGTTTTGCAGGCGCTTCATTGTCAGAAATGTCAGTTGGGACGACAAGACCATGTTTTTTGCATGGCTGATTGCTTTTGGCTTGTCATTTACCATTTGTTTCGGCACCCGCAAGGGTCTGGGTCGCTACGATAAGGATATACCCCAGGGGCATTGGGATTCATTACGAGCGTGCGAATATGTCTTTTCCATACTATATGTGAGTATCCTTCTACCACATGTCGAGCTCCTGGCCTCGTCTACCTAGCCCGCCGCCGCCGCCTTGCTCACATTGTCGCAGAATCCCGCCCTCATGGCGACCAAAACCAGCGTCTTGATCTTCTACCTGCGCCTTTCCAAGAACACGAAAAAAGTGCTCAGGTTTGCCTCATGGGTCACCCTCGGTATTGTCAACGTTGCCGGTGCTGTCCTCACACTCATCAACATCTTTCAGTGTCAACCCGTTCAGGCGGCTTGGGAAATCTGGCGGGACACCTCGAGGTGTATCCCACTTCTCACCGAATTCATCTGCTCCGCCCCCATCAACATTGTTACCGACCTGGCCATCCTGGCCCTACCGATCCCCGTTCTCACGGGCATGAGATTGCCGCCGAGGCAAAAGATCATTCTCGTACTCACCTTCACTCTCGGTATCTTCGTCACCATCGTCGATGTCGTCCGAATCTACTACCTTCAGCAGGCCGTGACATCCGTGCCCACCGGCGTCTCTACAGATCCGAACTCGCACTTTGGTGGAACGCCCGACTTCGCTTGGAACTCATCATTGTCCTTCATGTGGTCGGCTGTCGAGGTCAACGTAGGAATGGCTTGCGCTTGTATTCCGACACTCAAACCACTCATCATCAAGATCCTCCCCGCCATGATTATCGATCCTGATGGAACGCGCTCTAGCACCAATACCGAAAAAGATGCGCCGGAGAGCCCCAGAAATCGCAACGGCAGCGACGGTCTCGTTTCACCCACCAACCCGAATCACCGCGCTTCGGTCAACCTCCAGGAACCCGCCCCGGCGACGTTCCGTGCCAGCCGAGACCTGAGCGGGGTTTCGAATGAGTACGAGAACAGCATGACGGCGTTGGAGTTCCTTACGACACCAGACATGACCTTGGCCGAATTCGAGGCATCCGGGGCGAGCAGACTCGGAGGCGATCCGGCAAGAGCATCGATGGCGACGAGCAGGGAGAACACCATCTATTTCGGCTTCGTCAATATGAGGCGGCCGAAAAGCATGGTCAAGTGCGATGCTCAAGAGTCGTTCCGATATGGTCTTGTCGTCACTATCCTCTTCGTCATGTGGGGCATCTCTTACGGCCTTCTCAACACCCTCAACAACGTCATCTCCAGCGTGTCAGATATGAGTGTCGCGCAGACTCTGGGTCTCACGACCGCCTACTTCGGAGGTGGCTACTTTTTCGGTCCCCTGTTGGTTGGCGAGTGGATTCTGCGGCGAGACGAACATCATCGAAGACACCGCAAGAACAACAAGCGAGATGCGGAGAGCGTAGGAGGCTTCAAGGTCACCTTCATCGTCGGGCTTTGCTTCTACGGTGTTGGGACCATCATCTTCTGGCCGTCTGCCGTCACCAAGTCGTGGGGCGGTTTCCTGCTCAGCAACTTTGTCGTCGGCTTCGGCCTTTCCGTGCTCGAGACGGGAGCCAATGCATTCCTCATCCTGTGCGGTCCGCCAGAATATGGAGAGACGCGATTACTCCTCGCTCAGGGCGTCCAGGGCATCGGCGCAGTTTTGAGCGGCCTGATGGCCCAAAGGGTTTTCTTCACAAAAATCACCAACAAGGGCGGGTCCGACTCAACAACGCTCCTCAATGTCCAGTGGACGTACCTGGCCATAACATTGCTTTGTGTGGCTCTTGGCCTGTTCTTCTACTACATGCCCCTCCCGGAACTGAACGACAACGAGCTACAGGAATCGGCGGATCGACTTCCTGTCAACCCCCAGAAGCGCAGCATTGGCGGGCTGCAACTCCGCACATGGAGTTTGATCCTGGCAGTCCTTGCGCAGTGGACGTACGTTGCTTCCCAGGAAAGCAACAACATCTTCTTCCGATCCCTGCTCATCGCCGCCCTTCCCAACCAGGAAGACTCGGGCTCGGGTGCAACGAATGCAGACACGAACCCAGGGGAAAACAGCGACAAGCCTCCTGGTCTCACGATAGGGGTCACAGACTTTCACCTGGTTGCCCAAAGCGTATTCACCGTTTCAAGATTCATGGTCGCCTATCTGACGTATATGTCGGTCCGCAAGCCGCGGATGCCGAAACCGAGGACCTGGCTGGGTATCAGCGTTGGCCTGTGTATCCTGTTCGGTCTCCTCACCGTCGTCTGGCGGCCGAAAGATCCCAATATGCTGATGATCCCCGTGATACTCTTCTACTTTGCCGAAGGCCCCGTATGGCCTCTCATCTTTGCAATCGGCCTCCGCGGCCAAGGACGACGTACCAAGCGTGCCGCAGCCTTCATTACCATGGGTGGCTCCGGCGCGGCCTTCTTCCCTTACGTTATCTATGCGATCATCAACGGGGGCGCTACGGTGCAGCTCTCGTTCGTCGTCATCGTCGCACTTTCCGTTCTCACAGCCTTCTACCCCATCTGGCTGATGTTCGTCCGCGACGCGAAGACGATGACAGACCCCGCGAACTCGTACATCTCTCCAGAAGAGCGTGTCATGGTCCAGGACGAGATTGATATGAGTCGAGAAGTAAGGCGACGGCGGAGATCACTTTTCACAATCGGAGCCAAGGGCAAGCGAGGCAGCATTTTCAGCATGATATACAATATAGGCAAGGCCAAAGGCGAAAGCGTCACGCCGCCGACGGTAGAGCATTCCGAAGAGAGGAATACCTCTAGTAAGGCGTCTGAGGGGAGCAACGACACCCCTCGGACACAGACACTATGAGCGGGCTACCCGTTTGAGAAAAGACGCGGCACGAGGCCTTGTGAACCTTTTTATACTTAATAGCTATATACCCAATGATAATGACGTCCAATGAATAGATAAATAAGAAATTATAATATTCACACCAAGTATCCATTACATCAGCCTGTGATATCTCAAGCCAAAGTTGTGTTGGCAGGCCAGGCCTGCCGTCCCTACTTGTGTAACTGAGACGCAATCTTCTCAAACACCTCGACCCCCTCCCTTCCCAAAGCCGTGCCAACCCCTACGGCGTACGCGCCGACGCTCTTCATCCGCCTGAACCCGTCCGCGTCCGATACGCCGCCGACGCCGATGACCTTGATGTGCAACAGCTCGGGCTCCCGCAACAATAGGTCCGTGATAGTCTTGACGTTCCCCAGCGCCAGCGGGTGCAGCGGCGCGCCAGCCATCCCGCCCAGGCCCGACCCGGGCAGCCGCGGGCCCCACTCCCCGTCCCCGGTGCCCTCGAGCAGCAGACACGAGCCGAGCGTGTTCACCGCGTGATGAAGCTGATCCTGCTCGGCACCTTGAGCATCGACGTAGGCGACACGACGGTGGCGTCCTGGCGGAGCGCGCCGATGAGCTCCGCGAAGTGGGCGATGTGGGTGTACGGCGGCGTCTTCAGGCCGACGGGGATCTCCGGGTCCCGCGGCAGGGCGGCGAGGTAGGCCAGCAGCTGGGCGCGGTCCGAGGCCGGCGGCGAGGCGGCGGCGATGTTGGGGCACGAGAGGTTCACCTCCATGGCGAGCGGGTGCGGCGTGGTGCGGGAGAAGCGGGCGATGAGGCGGTAGCACTCGGCGACCTCGGCCGGGGAGCCGGTGACGGAGACTATGACGAGCTTGCGGTGGCCCTCGACCACGCGGTCCGGCAGCCGGCCGACGAAGTCGAGGTAGGTCCCGAGCGGGTGCGGGGAGTAGCCCAGGTTGTTGAGGGAGGCGACGTCGCCTGCGCCGACGCCCGGCGGGGACCGCTGCGTCGAGGCGTTGGGAGCCCGGGAGGGCTCCGCGGTGGAGGGGTTGAAGAAGGCGTACTGGTTGGAGGCGTCGTCGTGCGCGAAGCCACCGATCATGGAGGTGCGGGTCGTGATGGCGCCGGTGTGGGGGGAGGCGTGCAGGCGGTCGATGTCCTCGAAGGTTGTGCACCAGGGGTTGGCGGAGTTGAGGAGGGGCGGGGAGATTTCGAGCGCGGGAGGGGGAGGGATGTCCATGATCTTGATATACTTGGGGCCAGGCTGATGACTTATTTGTTCGTGAGTGAATTCGGGAGTGTGATGAAGGGCGAGTTGGGCAGGGGAATGAGAGGATCGTGAGAGAGGTGGACGGGGAGTGAGTGAATGGGATGTCGTCGCGAAGGACCCGCGGCGACGGAGGTAGAGGCGGGGGGCGGCGGCTTTGATAAGATAAGATGCCGGACGAGGTCCGAGGACGGTGGGGGGCGGGGGCCGTTTCGTCCGACCTTCGGCGTACGGGAACCAGCGTTTCCTACTTATCATGCATGACTACCATCATTTTTATTGTCATAGTGTTTTTGTTATTTGGATACTTCCATACCGTTTTGGTTGGGCGGCGTGCTTCAGACTAAAACTTCAAAAACTACTATTCGACTACAGACATGGCTTTCGGAATGGATGTTGGATACTCATCACGGACGACAAGGTACCGTGAGTTCGTCATGCTTGGCTGAATCCCAGCATGACGTGCAAGAATACAGGAAATCCGGATACAGCCTGAAAAAAAAGGAAGGGGGAGGGGGCATTCGTCTACAATGATGAGAAGTGTCGCGCTTGCACGCGCGCACATACACACACACACACACACACACACACACACACACACACACACACACACACACACACACACACACACACACACACACACACATACACAACTCAGCCGTAACCCCCCTCAATGGCAGAGATGGGCAATACTTTGACACGGTGTGGGATCAAGATGGGGGCGGGCACGAAATGAACGAGCATGGCTTTGTGCGGTGTAATGTGTTCTCGTGTTTCTAAACCAACATCCGGTATAAACTAGCAATCGTCTCTCAGGAGGCCCAGTATATTTCCTATCCTTATCCGCACGGATGCGACAAGGGCCCGTCCCGACTTCTCGGAAGGACGGCAGGCCTGACCCATGATGCTCTGGAAGGGGTCGAGCGAATCCACGTAGCTCAGCAAGCCCCTCGAAGAGGCCCGCTGCGCCGAGAGGCACAGGTCTGCCGGGAGGGCCAAGGCCTTTTCGACGCTGCCGAGATTGTGCTGGGCCACTTGGATCATGATTTTGATGTACAGGTCGCCCTTGATGGGCGGCAGGCCGCTGATGTGGGTGAGCCCCGGCAGACCCTCGAAGAAGCCGAGGATGTCGTGCAGGCCGCCCAGGAACCGGTGGACGTGGAGGAAGATGGTGTCGTACACCTGCAGCAGCTGTATGTGGCCGGACAGGCACATGAGCACGACTGGCATGCTCGGGGGCGACGACGACGACGTCGACGACGAGCCGTGGTCCTGTACCGGAGATATGACTTGCCTGATTACGGCGGCCAGTTCCGCGGTGCTCTCCAGCGCCTGGAGGATGGGGTTGACCTGCAGGTCCGCGACACTGGCGACGCACGAATCCAGGAGGGCCGGCGAGGGGATGCCCATGACGAAAGTGTCCATGCGCGAGAGCTGATGGGCGATGCACTGGTTGAGGCGAGCGAGGCGGACGAGGGCGTTGCTGCCGGGCCCGGGAGACGGCTGTTCCGGCGGCAGTCTGTTCGCGTTGTCGAGGGCGGCACCGCCTGCGGGTAGAGAGCGAAGCAGAAAAGCAGGGTCCACGCAGGGACTCGGATTGTGCGTGTCGGGCGGAGCGGAGAGCGACTTTGATGAGGCTGGCTGGTCTCCGCCATCGCCACCATACAACTCACGGAAATCTGCTTCAAGTTCCATGGGGAAAGCCCCCGTGTTGGAAACGCCGAAAAGGGCTGAGAGTGCGGTTGCGTCGTCGTTGTCGTTGGGGAACCCGAGATCCAGGGCGTCAATGACGGCATCGTCCGGAGTCTCCGCGGTGACGGGACCGCGGAAGCACTTGAAGCTGCCCTCGCTGTCGCGAGTCGGCGATAGGGCGACAGACCCTTCGTGCGGGAGTCCAGTAATAGAGGTCGTCTCGGGCTCCTCCGGTCCTCTCGGCATAGACGCCGCGGGAAGAGACACCCGGGACGCAGATCTGGACGGCGCGGCAGAGACGAACACCGAATGGCGCGGCCTCCTGTGAACAGCCTCGCTCAGGCTAGCGCGACAACGACCCAGCGGCCTCGGGGCTCCCGTCACGCAGGACGCGCCGGCTCGGGCGCAGCGGACGCAGGCCCCGTCGCCCTGGCCTTGCGAGCGCAGGCACCGCAGCTTGCGCTCTCGGCATCGGTCGCATGCCGTCCGCGTGGCAAGCGCTCGCTGCTGCTGATTTTGCTGCATGGCCGTGATGGTGGTCCGTCGGAAAGGAGTCGGTTGGTTCAGCGATGCGCCGTTGTTTGTTGGTGTGACCGGTCGATAGTGGTTGTCGGCCGCTTTACACGTCAGCCACTTTCATGTCAGCAGCCGAGAGGAGCCTAGTCTCAAAGGTGAAGGTAGTCGATTGAACTTATACAATTATAGCACGCCCGCTGCAACTTCAATACCAAATTCCATTATATTTGATAAACATGCTGCCTTGTATAAGTCGGGTATAATGAACCCATGCAATCACCTCGGGGCAAGGTGGACAAGCACATTAATGGCATTGAGACTACGCAACAAAGGGACATTTCTTGCGAAAAGTCCATGTGTCCTCTATATGACCCAGAGATCTCTTAGAGTACCCAATCTGAAGAATTTACAAGAGCTGAACCTTTCCATGGGGAGCCGGAAAGTACAGTAACTGAGAAGTCCAAAGAGCGCTGAAAGTTGAAGCTATAGTCTAGATAGACCACATCTCCAAAAAGAAAATTGAGATTTATCCAAACCAACAGATTCATCGTATAAAACCCTCTTTGTTCCTGTGTTCTGAATAAAATAACACAAAGCCACATGCCTTTTACTCTACTACGTGATATAATCACACCCGACCGTGCGGCCCTGGGCCGTTAATCTAGATTATGATGTGGCTCGATGCTACTCCCCCCTCGCGCGCCGAACCTGGCTGCTATTATATATAGTGACTATGATTCGAGAATATCTGCGGCTGCTTCTTTATGATGCAGGTTCTCTTATCTTAGTGTTGGTATACGGTAGGTATGCTTTGGGGGAGGTGGTCACGTGATATTCACGTGACACACCGCCTCCCTCGGCAGTATCCACCTCACCACCAGTATACCACCCAAAAAAGTCTGGATTCACTTTGTAACCAACCAATACAACAAGCAACCACATTCTATATCACAATTTATTACGTAATCTACAGGATATCCCTCTTCTGTAATTAACCAACACTTATCAAATGTGGCGGAATTACACGTGAATTAGCCAGCGAATGCACGGTTGCCCTACAGCGAATTGTCAGGGAATAGGCAGTAAATTAGCCCCACTTCTAGTAGCAAGTCCACTAATAATATCGCCAGGATTAGCCAAGGATTTCCCAACCAAGAAATAAGGGGTTTTCCCTATTTCTATAGTAATTTACTATAAATAAATAATATATAATAGAATAAAGTAACTATTATAATCCTTACTATTTAATAATTAATAGTCTAATATATATATCTATAATAACTAACATACCTATCTACTAATTAAATACTATTATAATAATTAATAAAAACTATAATAATAAGGTAACTATCCTATAATTATATAGTAATTAGTTTGTATAGCTTAACGCTATCTAAGTAAAAGTAAAGCGTTATAATTTCTAGAAGTATATTAACCTAAAGGTTATAGCAGCAGACTAATTAATCCTTAAGATATATCTAAAGAAACTAATAAAGCTACTTATAACGTAATATCTATACGCCTTAACTAAGGATAAGCTTACTGCTTACTAAGAGGTCACTATAGCTATAGTAATTACTAGGATATCCTAGTAAGTAACTATATAGTTATATATAGTAAGAAGTAAGGCTATTATAACTATACCTAATAGGCTTATATATAAAACTAAATATATAATAACGCTAGATAATCTTAACCTATATAATCTTATATACTTAAATAGCTAGATAAGCTACTATTATAAAGAAGTATATAAGTATACTACTTAGTAAAAGGACGTTAAAGATATAGCTAATATAGTTAAATTTACTATATTTATAGATCTTTAAGAAAGATATTATAGATTTAATAAATTACTAGCTAAATAGCTTAATAAGCTTAGCGTAGCAGTAAGAATAACTAAAGAAAAGCGCATAAAGTATACCTATAATAAATATAGTAAAGTGTTAGTAAAAGCCTAGTAAAAGGCCCTAACTACTAAAAAGATCTTACTATATAGCTTAATAAATAAAACGTAGCTTATAGTAAATTAGTATAAGTTAATTTACCTAACTACTAATAGCTATTAATTTAGTTTAATAACCTTACTACTACTTTATAAAATAGTTTACTTAGCGCCTAGCTAAATTTATATATAGTAATAAGTAAAATAATAGGTAATTAAAATAATCTTAACTAGTAGTTACTTTATAAGATAGCACTAAAGAGGGTTAAAGCCCTTACTAATAACTTACTATATTATAGCTAAGTAGGCTATAGCGTATTTAGCCTAACTAAAGGTAATAATAATAATAGCCTAACGTATACTAAAGGTATAGTAAAAAATAGTAAATTTAATAATAAGAGGTATTACTACTAATAAAGTGTAAGTAAAAAGGTAAAGTGCCTTATATACTTTAGTACCTATTTATTATAACTTTACTACTTTATAAATAAGTTATAAAGGCTTAATAATTAGTAAGTAAATATATAACGTTAGTAATAAATTAATAAGTATATTATAAGTAATCCTAACCTTACTAAATAAGTATAGAGAATTAAAGCTAAGTTATATTAACTATATAGTAAATACTATATAAAGGTAGCCTTTTATACTACTTTATAAGGCTATAAGCTAGGTAATTTAGCCTTACTTTATTTAGGTACTACTAACTATATATTTAACTATATATCTTAGTTTATTATATTAGTAGTAGCCCTAATTAGTAACTATATTTAGGCTAGTACTACCTAAGTAGTAATTAAAGAATATAGTACTATAAAGATTACTTTAAAGGGTGCTAATAGCTTACTAATAAAGCTTTATATATATAATATAATATATTATAGTATATTTACTATATTAGTTATTTCTTTTATAAGGCTACACTAGTAAGGCATATAGTAAAATATAAGCCTAAGTAATAATTACTTAAGGCGTATAGATTATAGCCTTATAAGCTATATTAAGGAATAAGCTAACTAATAAGTGCTTAAATATTATAAGTAACGTAGCTATAGCTAAAAAAGTAAAAGCGCTTTTACTATACACTTTACTAATAATTTACTATTAACCCTATAAGTAAGAAATAAATATATAACGTTAATATAATAATAACTACTTTATAATAATATAATAATATAGTATAAGCGTCTTAGCTACCTAAGTGCTAAGGCTTTATAAAGGATTATAAATACTACCTATAAAGTATATCTAACCTAAGTTAACACTATAATAATATAAGACTATAATTTATATAGTCTTAGTAAGATAAGACAGCAGATTTACTACTAGCCTTATAAATCTATTATAAATATAGCGCTAGGTAATTACCTAGCGCTAGACTTTTATAATCTTAAATAAGGCTA